TACTCTTAGGAGGCCAGAAAAGGATGCTGCAATTAAACATATAGCTAGTGTTAGTTATTTAAAGAAGGTACAGCACCTATTGTACCACCTCTGGTGACTGCTCTGCCCATATATTCCCACTGATGCTTGCCAAAGTAACTATAATGCAGTCCTGGAGATTTTCTAATGTTGCTGATTATTCATGAGTTCAGGGATTAATGTAGATTATAAATTTTATGGAATACTGTATGAGTGCTTTTCATAAAGCAGCACTCTGAGCTTTCAAAACTATATTAATTTTTTTCTGCATTATCTTACAAACTGACCATCTTATATTATCTGATATTGTTCTTTTACAAACATGTAGAATAAGCTGTATTTTTTAAAATCAGTTCAAGATTATGGATGGAGAGATGTTTTGATAATCAGTAAATTCAAAATCTTTGTATTTCCTCTTGGATGATTATTGATGCTCTGTTAATTTCATCAAATGTTAACAATTCAAATATTTCATTAAATATGATAACTTTTCTCTCCTTCTTGGGAATAATTTATAGCGTAACTAAAGGAACTTATGGGATGTGATTATGTTGTTTTAAGTTTACAGTTTTATATAATATGAAGTCCAAAATCCGGACCTCCAGATTGCCAGCAACCTCTTTTTTTTTTTTTTTTTTTTTTTTTAAACAACTGTTTTGGTGAACCGTTTGGTTTTTAAATAACTGTTTCTTTGCTTCGTTTGCACATTTGTTATTTTTCCATAATAGAATGTATAGAGAATCCTGACTATTAATTTCACTTCAGCACTGACACCAACCTATTTATATTTTTTTGCAGTTTGAGGAATGATTCACGCAGCGATATCTGAACATTTAAAATTTTTAATATTAGTAATTAAATACATAAGAGCATGGTAACCTTTTATGTTAACATTATGCTTGGCAATGATTACAGACTTCAGCTAAGTTTGCTGTGGTGTGTTGAGTGTGCTGGTGATGAAAAATTTAACAAATTCATTTCCATATTTAAAAATAGATTTTGTATATGATACTCGTAGGTCAAAAGATGAACATCTGGCACAGTTTGAACTGAGAAAATCTGATTTGTTATTTAGTTGAGCCCAGGACCAGTGCCAGAGATGGTGTGGGTGCCCAGATAACAGAATTTAGAAGAGGCAAAGTTTTTAGAAACAGCAAAACAATTAAGAAATAGAAAAATCTTTAGAATTTAGGGAAGGCACTGGGATGTAAAATATAGGGGTAGCAAAAATTTTAGATTTTAAGGAGGCGCTTGGCAACAAAATTTCAGATCAGCAGAGACTGCATCAACCCACAAAACGTCTAGCACTAGCCTTTGAAAAGTCTTTAGTATATGTGGGAATGTATTTATTTGGGACTTAGTGAGCCTTAAACATATGCAGGAAATGGGCTTAAGTATAATAAATAATTATACTACTTGAGGCTTAACTTTGTCAATGAGCAATAGAAGCAAGACAAAATTTAGCGGAACATCTCTTTAGTGCCAACTAAATGGGAAAGTGGTTAGTGACTCTGACTGCCATATCGAAGAACCTAGATTCGAATCTCAGAGAAGACATGGATGTTATTTGTCTGTTCCTTAATAGGAGGTAGTGGTGGCTCACTTATTAGGTGTTTCCTTCATAAAGAGACCATCACTTCCGACCTTAGTAGTGCCCGATGCATATAAACAGCTAGAGCTTGTCACCGTGTGGGGGAATCTCTTAAGTTGGCAATCTCATGATACTTCTTATGATGTTAGCGGGGAGTTTGACAGTTTTCAGATAACATGCATGCATAAAAAGGGAAATTCTCCAATTAATGTAATTTGTGGAGAACAGAGACAGGCAAAACTGCTCCTTTAAGGGATCAGATCGGAACCGTTTGCTCACTGAAGTGAATCAGTCCTTTTAAATGATTCACCACTCACTAACAATGACCTTGATGAATGTGTTCAGAATAGGCATGGATCAAGAGGAGTGTGCAAAGGTGATTAGTCGATTATTATAAGCAGTCAGTAAGACGAGTTGGCCCAGTAATAGTAGGAGATCAGCGAAATAAACTGTTATCTGCGTGTTGATTCTTAAAACTTTGTTAAGTTCCTTCCTTCGGGTCTCACTAAAATGTCCTCAAGCACCGCAGATGTCATGGATGATGACGATTTTGACTATTCAGACTCTGTAATCTCGCTGCATTCTTCAAGATCGCAGCCGGTGTGTCCAACATTTCACGAAGTCATGGAAGCAGAGGAAAGACAGAAGAAAGGGAAAGGCAAAAAGATTATGCAGAAAACCAATCCTGATACAGAAAAAGAAAGGAGAAATAGCATGACGGATGAAGAAGGATTTAGATATCTAAAGAAAGTTTTAGAAAGAGGAGGGGTGGATGCAGTCACGGAAGAGTTAATGAAAGCTATCCCAAATAAGAAGGGAAAGGTTGAGGAAATTTCAAAAGCAGTAAAGAAAAACCTAGAATAAATGAGAGTGGAAATTTGGACATGGAATGGAAGTTCCCAAAGAAAACTGCAAAATCCCCGGCAAAATTTCGCAATGGATATTACACACGAAAATCGGTACAAGCAGCTTGAAAATAGTGATGCTAATGAGGAAGGCGGGAGCTATCCTGAAGGAGACGCCCCCACCCATTGTATTTCTGCAAAATTCAACTGATTGGATGAAAGTCGATGACATTTTTCAAAATCACTGTTCGGAAGAATATGAGGGAAATATGAAGACAAATAATATCTACGTCTATGTTAAAAACACAGAGGATTATAAAAAAATGACTAAGCTGATAGACGAAAGGAATATTCCTTTTCACACCTTCCAACTGGCCAGTGAAAAAGAACATAAACAGCAGTGTTAAAGAATATCCCAGAGACAGTCGCTGAAGAAGCGATATTCAACGATCTGCAGAAAAGGAAATTTAAGCAGTTTACCAGATCCAGAAAAGGCGTCATTGAAAAGTTGCCAATATTCTTCTTAGAATTTAAAAGAAATAACGCAGGAAATGTCATTTTTAACTTGAATAACATGTTGAGCATTAACATAAGAATCGATAAGTTTGCCCCCAGAAAACGCCCGACACAGTGCTACAGATACCAAGAATATGGTTATATACAGCATTTATGCAAGCATCAGGAATGGTGCTATAAATGTGGAGAAAATCACAGCACACGGACATGCCAAAAGAAACCTGAGGAAAAACCGACCTGTATTTTTTACGGCGATAGCCACGTAAGGTAGTTATAGTGAACGTAAAGTTTATAAGGAAAAGTTCAAAAGAAAATCAATCCTGAAGAAACCTCCCCCACCAATCCTGTCTGTAAAAGATTTCGCAAAGCTAAAGAATACACAAGAAGTAACCAGAACTGATAAGGAAAAGGAAGTACAGCGAAAAAGTTTCCGGGGAAGTAAAGAAAAAGTTGCAGAAAATCCCAAAAAACACAAGTTCCTTAGATGAAGCTATAAAGTGGATCTTCGATGAAAATATTCAGCAAGTCTTAGAAAATATCATGTTACTTATTATGAAAATCCAGGAAGCAAAATCACCGATGGATAAATTACGAGCAGGAATTAATGCGGGTAAGATGCTAGTCACCTTCTGTCACCTTTTTGTTCCCTGGCAAAATCCTCGTCCATATTTAAACTATCCAAGATATCCTTCTCCAAAATCATTTTGCCCTAGGTCAGTGGTCAGCAAACTTATTAGCCAAAGAGGCAAATATGAACATTACAATAATTTTAAAAAAATTGGGAGCATAGCAAAACTGATAATACACATAAAAATATTTGCTGAGCTGACTATATAAACTTGCTAGTTAAAAAAAATCCACCCCCACCCCAATTTTACTTAGTATTTAAATAAATTGGTTTATACATATAAACAGAGTTTGCTAATAGTTGCAGCCATATTGAATTACATTCCTGTTCTTTTACACTGATTTTTAATAAGTTACTGAAGCAATTAAGTGAAAAAAATAAATGCTGAAGGGACGTGGCATTTAAAGGACTGTCAAAAATTTTAAAAGCCTTTTTATACCATTTATTATCGTCAGATAATTTCAAAATTTCTCTTCAGAGTAGTAAGGGTATAAAAGGCATTTTTTTTTTTTAGTAAAAAATTAAAAAATCAGTAATTTAATCGATTTTGGGGTACCAAGTTCCCTTTAAGAATATCTGGAGCTGGTGGTAAAATTACCTTCAGATTTTATGACCAAATGGACAAAATTTTATGATCCAGAGATGCCATGAAAAAAACTCAGCTAGTGTTCTATAGCAACAATAAATTATGTTAATAAAAGATATATGCAGATGTTAGAAATCTGCCAATCAGATTCACATTTGTGACATTATTGCTAGCAGTGGCTTATGGGTTAAGAGATGGAAGACTGTGCATCTGGACTAGTCCTGAAGACAAAACTACTTTATATCCCCTTTTCTCTCTAATACAATTGGTGGCTGTGCGAAAGAGTGTTGCAGGTGAACGGGGCTTATGCCACCAAATTATTTAAACTGTTGGCCCATGGGATAATTGTGTCTTCCATACTACTTAGTTTTGAATTAATTCATGAAAATGTTTTTAAATCTTAAAATGGAACATATTTTTAAATTCATTGTTTTGGCAAACCATCGGTGTTGCCTCTTATCATTCCATTATCAAAATTCCATTTGTCCCAAGACACTGTACTCATCATCTTTTCAGTTTAATTTACCTGTCTGATTAAAAAAATTCAAATTTCTCAAAAATAAACAATAGATCATATTTATTTTAAGTTATTTAAAATATCTTAGCATAACATGTAAATTTTATTGAACTTACGAATTTGGAAAAAATGTCAGTTGATTTCCGAGATTCTTAAATTATTATGTATGCACAAATTTTTTTTCCCCAAAGCATTTTGTGAAAAAAACTGGAAAACAGAACTTAAATTTTGAATATGTCTCATATTTAAGAGTTATTACCATGTGTGTAAATGATATTACAAAAATGACAACAAACCACTTATATAAAGGAAAATATATTTAAAAATTGATAGAAATAGTTAAAAAGGACAATGAAATAGGAAACACACAATACATATTCATTGATAATAAAAGATTAAATAAAAATTTATAAGTAGTGGAAGTTGAAGGACATGAAAAGAGAGGAAAACTCAAATTTAAGTGTTTAATTCTTATATTCTAATATTTGAAATCTGAGATAAAAGTTTGAGGATTTATTCCTCAAAGATAAACATTTTTTGAAAATGTAAGTACTCATTTTTAAGTTCCTGTGGCACATGCAAGGAACATATACTCTCATTTACAGAGCACTGCTCTAGAAAGTTAAGTGAAACAAAGAAACTTTTTATATTAAAATAAAAATCTCGTTCACTTAAAAAAAATACATACTAAACTGGAATAAAATACTTAGGAAATTGCAGTACAAAATGTCTTTCGAATAAACTAAATGTAATGCACTTCCAACAATAAGCTTCAGATTTTTTTCACTTGCTTATGCCACTTTTCGTTGCACTTTCAAATATTAAAATGCTACTAAAAATGTTCATAATGATTGGAATGATATATCATACAAAAATAGTTCAAACCAGTCAACTTTGTAAGGCTACATGATTGACTAGATATCAAGAGTTTATCAACAAGTGACTAGAATATCATAGTTAAAATACCAGATATGGAACATCAAATGAGCAAATGAAACAGCAACATTCAAGAAATGCTAGTGCCAACAAATGACTTTGATTAATGGCAACATAGCAAGAAACTTCTGACGCCTAGTACCGTTTGATTTTAAATCACAGTTGGCATACATGCCACAGAGAAAGATGAATAAATTCCTTTGGCAATTCTATAATTTAGAAGAGGCGCAAAATATTCCTTTCACATTGTAAGAATAATATTCAGGCCAAGAGATTCAATTCCTTTTTTTCTTTCTTTTCTTATCGCTGTCTGTAAGATCTACAAACATCGGCTTCAGCTCTCGATACATGACCTAAAAAATAATGGATTTCAAAAATTCAGTGGCATAAATATATACTAAGATTAAATACATCTTATATATGCATTCTATATTCTGTCTACCAGAAAATTCTGTCCATTTTTGGAATAAAACAAAATATAAATTTTTCTTACTGTCAATAAACTTTATTAATTAAATAATGTAATCGCCATTATTACTGATAACTTCTTGCCAGCGTGAGGGCAACTAGTATATCCCATTTTTGAAAAATATTGTATCTTTTGATGTGAAAAATTGAACCAATGCTTGTTTGATATGGTCTTTACTTTTAAATTTTTTGCCCTTCAAAAGAATTTTGTAAGGACAAAAACAAGTGATAGTTGGAAGGTGCTAAGTCTGGGGAATATGGTGAATGTAACAGAATTTCCCAGCCTAATTCTGTAATTTTTTGTCATGTCCCCAAAGCAGCATGTGGACTGGCATTATCATGATGCATACTATGATCTTCCTGCTGAATATCGCTGGTCCCTTTTCTTGGACTGCTGTCTTTAAATTATCCAGTTGCTGGCAATACTTCTCCAAATTGAGCTTTTCATTTGGTTTTGCTGTTGTTGCTTATGCTCACTTGTCTGATGTAGTCAGCCCAAGCTCATGAAATTTCTTGTGGCAAGGAGCACTAAATTAAGCCTGCTGTTGGCAACAGCCTTGAGCACCACTCACGTGACAGTGCGATTTAGCTCAGTTCCGCCCCCAATTTTGATGGGCAGCACCCCCGTGGGATGGGTCTTCCACCCCTCTCCCCTTCTACCATACCACACGAGGGGACTTTCGGCTCGCTGCATATTTAGAAGGCTGCCATGCCACACTGACATTATACATTTACAAACATCCATGCCTTCTCTGGGATTTGAACTTGGGCCCTTCGGCATGGCAGTCAGCTACGCTAACCACTATACCAGTTGGGTGGCTCATTCAGTTTTAAAAGCTCATAATGTATTGGTTCTCAAATGTCCCACCATACACACAACATTCTCTTATTCAGAGTCAAATTTGGTTTATAGGTGAAAGGTCTATGTTTCCTGGGTTCACAACATGCCCTTTATTCTGTTTCTTAGGTAATCCACTTTTCATCCCCAGTTATCATCCGGTTCAAGAAAGGCTCAATTTTGTTCCAAGCTAGCAGAGATGTACATATGACGACTCGATCATCCAAATTCTTCAGACTTAATTCATATGGCACCCATCTTGAATATTTCCTCACCAACCCTATCTTCCAAATATGGTCTGAAATGGTTTGCTGAGCTGAATTAAGCATTTCTGCAATCTCCAGTGTTGTCAGAAAAGGATCTTGCTCCAACATGGTCTTAACAACATCTTCGTTGATCAAAGATAATTGCACAGAACATGGCTTATCAGAAAGGTCGAAATCACCTGTTTAAAATTTTTCAAACCATCTTCTGCATGTCCTATCAGATACCGTACTTTCACCAAACACTTTCAATAAATTTCTACATGCTACTGTAGCATTTCTTCCTTGTTGAAATTCATATAAAAAACAGCGGTGTAAATGAACTTTATCAGTAGCCATGGGTACACTATGGCTTCAAGATTAATGTGAATCATCTTTGTTTTAGTTAATTTGCTACTTCAGTATGTATACATTAGCGATAAAAATAGAGAACAGAACATGCGCCAAATAAACATGTGCTTACGTGTCGAAAATTGTTGTCATAGAAACCAACAGAACTTTCCGGTAGACCGAATATATATGTAGTATATATATGTGTGCTACATAATCATTACATTCTGAGGGCTTATGCAAGGAACACATTAAATCTTAGGGGCTTTCTCTTCCTTGAATAATATATCTTCAGCAATAACATTTCTATCAATTTATGATTATTAGATTCTGAATTTTTTACTTCAAACATACCTCTACTATAGAAACAAGGTCTTAAAAACAAAGGAATGCTAGATGCGGAATTACAATAATATATTGCTTAAAAGCTATGACAAAAGTCAAAATGAAGTAAGAATGAAAATATAGTTAAACAGTGTTAAGTTTGTTGGATGTATGATAAAAATAAGTTTCGGCTCAGTCTTTTTTTTTTTTTTTCTTTTTTTAGAAAGCCCTGATCACACCAAGCACCACAGGAAACTTCTCCCCTTGAGATAATTTAACATTGTGGAAATAAAAAAATAAATAAATAAAAAAAAAGGGGGAGGGGAAAACTGGCACATGGTTAAAATGAAAATAAAAATGAGAGAAAAATTTTACTTAACAAATCGGAATCATGTTTAAGCACAAATAAAATGAAAGTATACGAGCTTTTACACATGACACACCAGTTTCATCAGCTGGAGCTGATATGGATGGCTTCATCACATTTGTCACCTTTCACTGGTTTCCACATTGTTTGTGTGTTCTGAATTGCAGGCTAAATGTACAGAAAATTGAAGTTTTTTGGAACAGGTATGTAGATGATATTTTCATGCTATGTGCTAAGGAAACATTCATAAGATGAATTTAAACACTTGTTGTCTTATTCCAGAATTATTTGTATTTTAGAGAAATTTTGCAACTTGTAGTTAGTGATCAATAGAGAAGTCAATAATAGCATTTAATTTCTTGACCTTTTTAATTTAAAGACAAAGCAGTTCTCTTCAGACTACAATCTATCATAAACTAATAGGCAACCCAGCAATAAGCTTGTTTGACTTTTGCTTTTTCATCCTCATAAAACAGCTGCTTTTTTTTAAGCTTGGAACAATCCAAGGATTTTAGTTCCACACTGGAATTATATGAAACTAAACGCAATTACAAACATACATATAATACATACTGTAAAACAATACATATCCTCCTAATTTTGTGGAAGAGCGCAATAAGAAAATAAAAAAGATTCTACTGTCATTTCTCAAAACGTACAGTTGTTACCGATTAAACATCAAATAACAGTAAATTTATTGGAACTTTCTTTCTATAACCCAATCATACACATCTGTTCCATATTTAAAAGATATGGTTATATATTTAAAAGATATGGTTATAAACTTGCCATTACCCCAGACCTAGCAATGGAAATTGTTAAGATCAGATAAACTGAACAATATATACTTCAGATGAATAATACCAATTTGATTCGCAATGAAGATACAAGCAGGGAAACATAGAACATTGGCTTAATATCCAAAAAACTGAAAATACAGGGTGATTATAATTAACGGTTTAAGTTTCAAAACGCTATAAAAAAAGAACCACTGATGAAAATGATGTGAAATTTGAAAGGAATGTTATTGAAGAAGGCAGAAAGCGTATGGCATAAGAAAAAATTTAGTTTCAAAAGTTAGCAACAGATGGCGCTGTAAGCGGGAGAATCACGACGAGAAATGATTCGTAAAACAACGGCTAAGGTGGAAGTTACACATTAAAACGCATTGACAAATTAGAATTGTTGAATAATTTTATTTTCATGACTGTACATATCACATCGAAAGGGACAGATCGGTTTCAAGAGTTTTGCGGTGACATACCACATAAGAACCATTCGTCAAAGAAGTTCGGAACTGTCACGAGACTGCCGCAAAACATGTTCAATATGGTGTCCACCGTCGTGTGCAACAAGTTGAAAGTGACAAACAGCATGTTCCACAACGGATCGCAGTGTCTCCGGGGTGATGTTCAGAATGTGTTGCGAAATGCGTGCCTTTAATTCCACTAAATTTGCAATTGGGGCACGGAACACAACATCCTTCAGATATCCCCTCAGCCAGAAATCACACGGAATAAGATCAGGCGATCGGGACGGCCAGGCTGTAGGGAAATGACGGCTGATAATTCGAGCATTTCCTAAATGGCGTCTCAGCAGCTGCTTCACGGGATGTGCAATGTGCAGAGGAGCGCCATCTTGCATAAAAATGATTTCATCCACACATCCACGCTGTTGCAGAGCTGGAATCACATGGTTGCGCAAAATAGACACATACCTCTGACCAGTGATGGTTGCGATAACAGGACCGGAAGCACCAGTCTGCTCGAAAAAATATGGTTGTAGGATGAATGATGCTGTAAAGCCACACCATACCGTGACCTTTTCAGGATGAAGTGGTACGGGGTGCATTGCCAGTGGATTTTATGTTGCCCATATTCGACAATTCTGGGTATTCACGTATCCTGTCAGATAGAAATGGGCTTCATCTGTCCACAAAATTTTCCACGGCCATTCATTATCCACTTCCATGCGAGCCAGGAATTCTAACGCAAACGTCTCCCTAGCTGTCAAGTCAGACGGAAGCAATTCCTGCACATGGCCAATTTTGTACGGATAGCATTTGCAGGATGTTTTCGTACAATTTTTTTTTCAGCACCGCGCTCGTAGGCCTGTCCAATGTTCAGGCAATTCCTCGTGCACTGCACACGGTTGCACACCACTGCCGGCCGACCCCTCCTTGTAATGCTGTGGCCACTTCTTCAACTACCGTCGAATGCACTCGTTTTCTCCGTCTACCAGATTGCACATCAAACGAACCTGTCGTTTCAAATTTTTGCATTATTTTCTTTAGACCTACGACACTCATCGGACCAACACCTTCTTTTATGCCCTTCAGCGTCCTGAATTTTGGCAGAGCTACTCTTGCACAATCATCATTCTTGTAATACAGCTTTACCAGCAGACACGATCCTGCAGTGAAACACCCATGGCGAACGTCTGAGCCCGTGAATGCGAGGAACAGCCTGGTACCTGGCGGCTTTTATAACACTGAAATTTAACTAACATTTTAATTTACGTCTTTCTTCCGCTTGCAGCGCCATCTGTTGCTAACTTTTGAAACTAAATTTTTTCTTCTGCCATACGCTTTCCGCCTTCTTCAATAACATTCCTTTCAAATTTGACGTCATTTTCATGAGTGGTTCTTTTTTTTATAGCGTTTTGAAACTTAAACTTTAATTATAATCACCCTGTATATCTACACTTTTTGCCAAACAGTTAATAAATGAAAATAGCACATCTTTAGTCAAATACCTTACCGAGGATCCACAATCAATATTAGAGTGGGACAAGGTCACAATCATTGCCAAACACTGGCATAGAAACAGCCTCAAAATTCAAAAAGTTATTAAAATCACCACCAAACCATGTTACAACCAATATCTTCCTTTCAAGCTTCAGTACATCTAGACCACAATACTGGGTATAACAGCTTTTCAGAAATGATGGAATAAATGCTTCTACAGTAGATATTATTAAAACATATGGTGATTAGGTTATTAAAACTTTAAAATAAATTGAAATAGTACATTCCTGTGGATAACTGCTTAGCATTTGGTGCCAACAATGCACCAGTAATGGTAGACTTGAATATTAGTGTTGCAGTATCTTAAAAGAAAATTCAGATTTGCAAATTATGAGGGACACATGTTACCTCTTACATTTAGCAGCTGAAAAAGGGACAGCTTCTTTGCCAATAAGTGCCACATTGTTGATATTTATTATTATCTTGAATAGAGTGATAAAGTTAAGGAAAAACTAAAACAATCCAAACAGCTTCATAGTAATGAAATAAAAAAAATTTTGAAGTATGTATGTAGAGAAATGTTAACCTAGAATCCTTGACCAATGGAACATTCTTTTTACTTTTAAGGAAGAAGTAAATGCTTCCTTCCTTAAAATAATAAAAAGGGCTCCTGAAAGTTATACAATACTTGAAGTAAATGGAGATGTAATTCCTACCTTCACTGTTAAATATAGGTGTGAGAAAAGTAGAGTAATTTCTGTACCTGTGAGCAATTTAGTTGGCAATTCTCAAAATAATACTACAAAATATATTCATAAACCTGGTACAAAGATTAAAAAAAAAAATTGCTTAAGAAGGGAAACATTTGCTGATTACTGTAAGTTTATCTGTTGAAGAACAAATGTTTATGTTTTTGTCTTCGGACCTTAAAAAATTTTTTTTTGCTTTTTTGTGTGCTCCATTTTACCATCATTTGATGTTCTTAATACAATTCTACTATGCAGAATTTTATGAATTCATGTTTTGCAATCAATGACTAGTGATTTGTTTAAAGACATTATCAAAGTTTGTAAAACCAACCTTTGTCTTCTATATTTCATGTAATTTATGATAAAAAGAAAATCAGAAGAAAAGTGAAGATTTGGTAACAAAGCAGGGGACAAACTCTGGGGCTGCAACTAACAAAGCAGTGGAAGAACTTGAGGAAAGAACAGAAGAGAAAAATAAGTTTTATTTTCATGCTAGAAGCTACTTTTGCTGAATATGTGACTGCATACTTTATAGATTTCCAATCAATGATGAACTGATTTTGCATGCTAAAGTTGCAGATGTTTCTGCTCACGCAAATGCATCTTTTTTTGATATAAGATTATTTTTTTTAACAGATATCCAGCTTTACTTCATTTAGTTTTGAAAGACAATGTTGCAACTTATAAACTGTAGTTGCAGTTGTTCAGTTTACAATTAGAAAACTTCAGTAAAGTTATAAAACCAAGTATGTGTTACTGTTGAAGGTAGCTTGAGAAGCATGGAAATTTCAGCCTCAAAGATGATGCCTGCTCTGGATGACCATACTCTGTAAATAAAGACCTAGTGAAGGAAGCTGTCACTAAAAATACATGATATACAGTTCAGGAACTTTTAGAGATATTTAAAATAATATCTACGATCATTTGAAGAAGATTGGTTATGTAAACTAGGATGTACGGGTACCCGATACTTTAACAGAGTAGAACACGATTCCTTGAATTTTGACATGCAACTCTCTGCTGAAAAATATAAAGAAGCTCCTTTTTCATAAAATGGTTGATCATTGGAAATGAGAAGTGGATACTATACAATAATGTTACAATAAAAAAGAGCATGCAACAGACCAAAGAACCTCTTTTATTAATTTCAACAGGGAGCTGCATCCAGCCCTCAAAATAATGCATTGTGTATTGTAGAACTACAAAGAAATTGCATACTATTAATTTTTGTTACCAAATCCTATAATAAATTCAGAAAAATACCATTCCCAAATGGTAGTTTTAAAAGCAAAAGTCAGATAAAGACTTGTTGAGCATGGGTGGGATATTTTGTGTCACCTACCATATTCACTAGACTGTGCTTCCCTTAGGATTGTTACTTCTTCAGGGAGACAGCAACACAATAACATTGTTATGAATAAACCTAATGACTTTTTTTTTTTTAAATCAATTTTCCAGCTGCTGGAAAAATGGAACAGAAAAACAAAATGGTGCTTATGTGATTCAATGAAAATTTCTTATGTTTTTTTAATGCTTCATTTGCATTTATCACCTCCCCCCCAAAACAAGAAACTTTCCAAATGACCCAGTACCATTTTTATGACGGCCAATCATCTTGATATGGTAAATATTAGATAGCTGAACATTATAATATATGAACATTATAATCTTTTCAATTCTCCAAGTCCTGCTAATTCTGTTATTCTTGTATTCAGATCTTGCTCTTGAACTCACATGTGGTCCACCTAATTTGATAAAAAAAAATTCATCTGGCTGAAAAATGAGTACATTTTTAGGATAATTTTGAGATTAATTATGGAATTACCTTTTCTTCGTCATCTGGTACTCTTGATATGAAGTCAAGAATTTCATTATTAGGCACTGCATGTGGATTTCTTAATTTCTTTGTAAACTTGTTAATACCTGTAACAGAATATAACATGTTAATAATCTACATTAGTTGGCAATGTTACTCTATTGCATCTATGAACTTTACAGAAGAGCTCATTTACTAATATATCAAGTTGGAAAGCATTTGTTGTTTTTATAAATGACAATTAAATAAAAGCATATTTCACTTTAAATTGTTTATATGTTTAATTTAAATGGTGTCCAGCTGTAATGATCACCTAGGATACCAGAAATGTTGAAATTAGACTTGTCCTTGGACATGTAAGAAGCTCATATGCTTAAAACTGTGAAGATCACATAAAAAGGTTTCAAATAAAGGAAATTTTTTTTAGCTAGGAATTAAATTACAATTGAATGAAATTCAAACTGAATGACAAAATGTAGATTTTTGTTTTAATTATGCTAGAAGAATACAAATTATTCTGAACAGAAAAGATTATTTCTTTAAATACATTGGACTACTTATTTGCAATTAGGACCCAAACATGCAAAGCAAATTTGATATAAGGTTCCACATTGTTTTTATTTTGTCACATAAGTAAAGTTAGCTATATGCTAAATAATTAAAGTTGATTTAATAATTAAGACACAATAACACGCCGAATAAATACTAATTCAGAAGACAAACAACAAAAATCAGCGTTATATTTACAAAATTTCACAGACTAGTTTCGATGGTTTTACCAAACCACCATCCTCAGCTGCAAAACCGCAAATGAAGACAAACAACAAAAATCAGCGTTATATTTACAAAATTTCACCGACTAGTTTCGATGGTTTTACCGAACCACCATCCTCAGCTGCATTTACGGTTTTGCAGCTGAGGATGGTGGTTCGGTAAAACCATCGAAACTAGTCTGTGAAATTTTGTAAATATAACGCTGATTTTTGTTGTTTGTCTTCTGAATTAGTAAAGTTGATTGGTTTTTAAAACTTTCCATCTTATGAGCCCAAAATGGCTATTAATTTCATTTTGGTATTTTGTGGCATTTCACTACAATCAACGTTTCACTTTTCAGATTGCTGCCACCAAATATTATCACCCTGCATTATATTTAAAGAAATTAAATAATGAAGATATGCATGAATGTTTGAGCTGTCAAATTTTGAATAATGTACACTTCAACCTGAATATGGGCTTCTAGAAGCCCATATTTGGAATTTCTTTTATTATCTATTTCATATTTTGTAAAGCATTTATGAGTTTTTGATTAAGAAACTCAACGATTTCAAAGCAAGCAATGGCAACACCGTACGAGGAAAAAGAGAATTATCTCCAGCACGTTAGAGACTGTGTATCAGAAATTCTAAATATATGCTCTTTTCAAATTATTTTGTGATATTGCTGTTGAATTGAATTTTATGGTTTAAGTGTGAACATGAGGTTTAATAAATAAAAGTAACACACAAAACATTAAAAAAAAAGCCCCTTGGGATGTCATAAAATATGAAAACTTTTAGTTTTTAAAAAAAAATTTTAATTAAACTTAATATACACCATAATTATCATAACTTTCTAATTTTAGTTTTTACATTTCAGTCAGTAACAGAACTAAAAAGTGCAAATAAATTTCTTCCACGGTCAATGGTCAAAAATCAATGGTTGCTACGCCCATTTTTAAAGCATTTTTAGTCCAAAGGGATTTGAATCCCGAAGGACTATTAGTTTCGTTTTGGCATTTTGCGTCGGACTCATAAATGTCGGTTCACTTTTCAAACTGTTGCCACAAAATGTTAGAGTCCTGCATTATATTTGAAGAAATTAAATAATGAAAAATCTGCATAAATGTATGTATATTTCTCGTATTGTGATAAAACAACGGTACATAGAGTCATCGAATTTTGAATAACGTAATCTCCAACGAATATGAGCATGTGGAAGACCAAATTTGAAATTTGTTTTATGATCGATTTCCTATTTTTTAAAACTTTGACGAATTTTTGATTAACAAACTCAAGGATTTCAAAGCGAGCAATGGCAACGTTGTGCAGAAAAAACATTTTTATCTCCAGCGTGCGAGTCTCTGTATCGGAAATTCTAAAGATATGCTTGTTTTAAAACTATTTTGCGATATTGCTGTTGCACTGGATCTTATGGTTTAAGTGCGACGCACATGATATTTAATAAAGAAAGGTAACACACAAAATGTTAAAAAACGCCCCTTTGGACGTAATTTAAAATCTGAAACATTTCAGTTTTTTTTTTTTTTTTTTTTTTTTTTTTTTTAACACTAGAGTTTTTGACTTAACAAATGTTACATCTTAAAAGCTACATACAACATTCTGAGCAATGAACATTTCTGTTACTAAGTGAAATCAATAATGCTGATAAAAGCATAAAATTTAATTCCAAGGAAAGTTTAACTTACCCCAAGCCATTATCAAATAACGGACTGGAATGAAATATAACACAATTGTTGCTACCACAAGGACAAGGAAGGCCAGCCAGGAAAGGAATGGCACTGTGTAATTGAATGTGCTGGAAGAAAGGAAAAGTTTCACTAAAAATTATAATGCAAAGGAAAATGAAATTATAAATTTGTTCAATTTTTCTATGTGAAATGCATCTTACACTAGAGCATTTTTCTGATAAAAATCATTTAACAAAAATTCACGCAGTAATTGTAATAAATCATATAAAAGTAATATGATTATGCCATATTATTGAAAGATATTGTTGCATACACATGAGTTCTTAACAGATGGAATGCACACAGAACTCATGATAGGTTGATAAAATTTATTTTATATTTTTTGATTTTAATGTAAAAACTCTCCTGGTATTTCATATCTGGAATTGCGTACTTTTGATATATTGCCTTCTTTGACATATTTTAATATGCACGTATATGTACGTTCTTACAGATATCACAATAAATATTCTAAACAGTATATATACGGCCTTGTCGCTTAGAGGGTTAAAGTTTTACAGGGACTTGACCAGTAATTCAATTTCAATATCCATTACAGTTATACAAAGATTGGACCAAAATGTTCCTAAGTTTGGCGACAGAGTCACCAATTTAGTGAAAAGGCTATTTACTCAACGTTAAATAGACCTGCCCCTGTATTCTTATTCAATATCAGAAATGAATTGAAATTCCAGCTTGGCGAGATAGCCAGTTACTCAATGTTAAATAGACTTGTCTCCATATTCTTATTTTTAAGGCAGAGCTCCACTTCTTTAGATTTTCATGTTAAATTATTAAAAAAATACTACAATTTCAATAAAATTATTTATATATGTACAAAATTCATAACAATATTTAAAATGAAGTTTATAGTAAATGAATACTTACTTTTTGCATCTTTCCCCAAAAGAAGCTACTTCACCTAAAATATTTTGAATCATTGCTGTGGCATCTTGGACAGCTTGTAGCTTTTCTTTCAGAGACTTTTTTTCCTCCTATTTGTGCATAATGAATTAATATTTTAAATATTTTCAATAATAGTATCCATAAATTATTTCTTAAACTTTTGGACTTATTATAGGATATATTAAAGTGGAACTGATATAAAATTTAATTATATCGATAATTATATTTTATAAATCCAACGAATATGAGCATGAATAAGAAATACTACTTGAATGAGTATCTTATCTAAACCTTAAAAATTCCTACCACAATTTTATCAATAAAACTTTTCTGATTGTCTAAAAAGCTGCAGTAATCTTGTTCTATAGATTAGCTGCTGGATAGTTACCGCACAAATATTTTGTTCTTTGTACAACAATCACAATATATGGCAAAAATTAGATCATTCAAATATCTGCCCCAGGTGATCAAGCTTATATAACATTTGATTAAGTGTGTCATACACTTGGTAGACTTACTATTTCAGTTCTAATTTTTTTACTTCTGTACAATGTATAATTAACTTCCAGACCCTTCTAATCATTTTGATATATGCTTTATATGTAATAAAATTTTAATTCTCTCTCAGAAACATCGTCCAGGAGATGCTTATAGTACTGTGAATTAGTTTGCCACATGGCAATATGCAAAAGTATTTTTAAAAAATTTTTGAATTTAAATGACAGTGTCTATGCGAGCTTTTATTATTTTACAGGTTTCTTTTTCAAAATATATATGGTTTGATGAACAATTTGTTTTTGGTCAAATTAAAGTAACAGACATAAAAAATCAGCAAGAGAGAGAATTTTTATACCGAAGAAAAACAGCAATTTCCCTCAACAAGGAATATTTTTAAATGGTAGCATCTTCTAGGAATAGTGTTATACAAAACATATTTATCAGTAAATGAATCTTTCAGCATTCATACACAGGTGAAATAAAGAGCATTCACATACTGTTCTGCCTTCTGAATTTTTTATCCTTGGAAGGCAATCAGGAGTAAACTAATATCTTATCACAATACTACTGACAATCTTGAGCACCCATAGCAAAGTTTTGCTACAACCGAAGTGATAATTATGTGTCATTAATTAGCACAATGAAAAGTTTCAAATATGAAGTCAAATGAAAACTGCAAAGAGCATTTGATAAGATTTCTGACAAAACATTTTTGAAAGCCTCAGACTGCAAAAGTATTCTAATATATTTAAATAATCTACAAATGCAATTTCAGTAACTAAAATCTCTTTATTTTTTAAAATGAAAAAGTACAAATAACATTTTCATTATTAGTATAATTGTTATTCAACTTACACCTTTGTCTTCTTTGTCATCATCATCATCATCATCTTCTATTTCTTCTATCTAAAAAAGTTAATATGCATAAAAATGTTTTGCATATATTTCTAATCTCATTATTAAAGTGCTACACCTTTAAAAATTATACATACACTACTGAAATGACAGCATTTCTGAGAACTATTTTCACACTTATACTATTAATCATTAGTGGATGCATTATACTTTAACTGGTATAAAAATTTGTGCACCACAAATTAAATGTTGGAATTTAATTCAACTTAATACATGCCAGGTAGATGTACAAATGATTAGAAATACAGCATGATTGCATAATGCCATCAGAAGCCACTCAACTTTATTTCTCCCCGGTGGATTAAAAAAAAAAAAAAGGTATGCAGAGACATTTTGTCTGCATTTAATTTGTTATAACAGGACACTTTTTTTTTTATTAGGGATACCATTACACCACCATTGAAGACAATATGATCAGCTGTCAGAGTTCAACAGCAGAAGAGTCATCAAGATGATGGAAGCTGGGTGGTCAGCTTAGCGAATAGCTGCCACCTATGCCATTCTGATTTTAATGGGGAAGTGATATGACTAATGGAACAGAAAGGTCACATACACAGTGGCCAGGCTCAAGATGTCCTTGGCAGACCAATAGTTGAGAAGACTGGAGTATCACTCAATACACATACAGAATGCCAACTACATTATTGTTTGCCATTCAGATATGCAACACTTTCTATAGAAAGCCCTTGTGTCTGTCAGTACTATCGCAAGATGCCTGGCTGAAGAACATTTGGTATCGCAGTAACTGATTATGCGTGCTGCCAATAACACCCACTCACCTTTCAGAGTGGTTTTGTGCTTGATGGGGTTTGACTGAAACCAAAGGAAACCAGGTTTCCTTCAACAACGAAACAAGATTCAGTTTGAGAAGTAATGACGGCTGTGTATGTACGTGCAAGCCCTGCAGTGAACACTTCAATTCTGCCTTCACTTCACTATGGCACACTACTCCCATATCCGGTATGATAGTATGGATGTCATCGCATACGACAACTGGTCAACTCTAATATTGATGATCCATGGCATCAAGACAATCCAAGGTGCACGCAACATTTTTTCAGCTAGACATGTTGCCACTCATGGTAAAGCTTCCAGGAGGCATTTTTGACAGTACAATGTTATCAACTGAGAATACTTGAGTAAGAAGGTGGACAGCCTTGGAGTATGGCTGAATTAGATGCACATTTACAGCAACTGTAAAATGACATGATGCAGGACACCATATGGGATCTGCAAGCCTCAATGCTTGCTCATATTACATTGTGTATTCACACTAGAAATACCCTAACAAAACACAAGAACCACCATTAATTTGCAGTTTTTCCTGTAATAAATGATCGCTTTGCTTTGATTCTGCAACCACTTGCTTATATAAATGTCACACTCATATATATAAAATTTCGCTTGATTCTGACTGCTCTTTCTTGGTATGCAGATTTTTATGGCAGTTAATGCATATGCATGTGCAAGTGCACAATAATAAAATTAAAACCTAATAAAAATAAAATTAAAACTTAACCCAAAGTGTACTTTTAATATGGCCCATAGTATTTCAAAACCTGATAAGATATTTATACCCCCCACATATATCTATACCTAGAATAATATATCTGACGTGAGCTTTTCTTCCATGTAGCAGAATTATATTGATGACCAATTTTGCCCATTAACTTTGTGCCATATTCTTTAAAAATACATAGCATAATTCTAGTTAATGAAAAATTAAATTTTCCCAATTTGAAAGTAATTAAATGCTATAAACTGGCTGACATTTCTACTACACATAGAAGGAGAGATGCCTTTCATGCAGCTAGAACGTTCAAGTTTATTGAGAATAGTTTGCTTGTTGACCAGTTATTGCTGTAATTACAGCAAAAGTGTGTATTTCTATACACAAGGGCTTATTTCACGTTTAAATTTAAACAATTTGAATGTTTTTCTTCCAAATTTTTTATCATTTGCGTATGGTCCACATATATATCAAATTGTCAATTTCAAATTTCTGTGGCACTTTGTTCTTGGTATTATAATTTCAGTGTTGAATAGTGCAATAAAGTGTTAAAAAAACTTAAAAGTTTACATTTGAACATTTGTTGTAGTACAGACAGATACTCAGAAAATGTTGAGTCTAATTATAACTGACATGAAATTTACAGTATGCACTAATACATATGCAAAACATTGTTATATACATATACAGTTCTTCAGAGAATACGATGAAAGATGACTGTCTATAATTTTTAAAAGTTATCAAAAATATGTCTAAAATTGAAAAATGTTATTTAAAATACTTAATGTTCTTTTAAAACCAAAGCAAGATGAAAATTCCAAGAAATTTATTTTACTTTGTAACAAATAAAAATTTTGATGCTACATGAAATAAAATTTAAAAAGAAATTTGTTTCATTACCTCATCCTCATCCTTAGTTACCACCAGTCTTCCAGTAAGTGCATATATAACATAATTCTTTACATACAATATTAACAAGGCGATTGGCAACATATAAAACTCAAATGTATATGTTATCACAAGGAATACCTAGTTTGAAGATGAAAAGAAATTAATAAAAAATAAGCACTTGATAATTACAGCAAAAATCATATAATCAGTTAGTACAGGCAAAAAATTCTAATTGATATTTATTTTGGTCGAAAATTATGTATGCAAAAAATGCCAACTTTGTAAATTTATGGCTGTTGTTGATGGATGCCATTTTTGATTGCACGTTAAACTGTAATTCTAGGATGATATATATTTTAACATATATTCACTTATACACAATCACATTGCATGTAGTTAGTTACAAGATGAGCATTTTTCAGTTCGCAAGTCCGCATGAGTAAAAATCAAGAAAGTCGTATTACAGCTACGATAACACCACGGAGGGAAAGAGAGGTGAGTGCGTGCTTCACCGACGGCAGCCAGGAACCGAGTAACCAGTTCGAATTTTCCTCCAGAGAGAAAGAGGGAGAAAGCTGGTAGCGCCCTCTCTTGGGGCAGTGGACAAATAATAATAATAAAGAGTTCTCCACAGTATTCCCAGAGAAGCGAAAAGGTGTGACTGGAATAGTCGACCTTGATCAGTAGTCACAACTGATGGTACACCAAATCGTGTAATCCAACCGGTGAAAAATTGTCGAGCCACAGAGTCAGCAGAGATGTCCTGAATGGGAAAAGCTTCAGGCCAACGAGTAAATCTGTCAATGCAGGTGAGTAGATATCGATAACTGTCAGATGGTGGCAGAAGACCGACGATGTCTATGGTCGAATCGTTCGGATGGCATCGCAATTTTTTCCAAAGGGCTATGTGTGTATGTGTGCCGGGTAACTTTTGAACATTGGCACATGATGCAGGAAAGAGTCCAGTTGGCAATGTCCTTTAGCATGGATGGCCAAACGAATCTTTCTTGTATGAGCGTTTTGGAAGCCCGGATACCTGGGTGCGGATAGGTTGTGGAAAACAGTCAAAAACTTTTTCCTGAACTCAAGTGGTACATAAGGGATCGCAGTCTGTTGTTGGAGGTATTGCACAATAGTTGGAGGTCCCGAGTAAGTTGTAATGACTGGAATTTCAGCGAGCAGTTTGGGTCTTCCCTCAGACGTTTTAAGTCCTCATCAGTGGCTTGCGAGCAATGAGCGTGAAATCCAATGGTGCATTGGCATCAATGCCCTGAATACGTGAGAGAGTATCCGCGACGACATTGCTGGAACCTGATATATGCTGAATATCAGTGCTGAATTGAGCTATATAATTTAAATGCCGAATTTGTCTCGGGGAAGCAGAATTTGATTTTGATGTGAATGCATAAGTTAGAGGTCGGTGATCAGTAAATATAGTGAAGTGTTGACCTTCAAGATTATGCCTGAAATACTTAATAGCTGCGTAAATAGCTAATAATTCTCTGTCATACGTGCTGTATTTTTGTTCTGTAGGGGACAGCTTAACGTGAGAAAAATCCTAGCGGCTGGTAGTCATTAGAATGTCGAACGTTTAAGACAGCTCCGATGGAAATGTCAGAAGCGTCGACCTATAACACTCAGCTTTTGGTTAGGAGAGTGATAGGAGAGAGTTGCAGCATTACTAAGGTCGTGTTTACATTTTTCAAATGCCTGATTAAGTTCGTCGTTCCAAGGAACAGGGCATTTATCATTTTTACGTGAGTCTTTTAAGAGTTCATTCAGTGAAGCTTGTGTCTCGGCTGCCTTTGGTAAGAAGCAGCGATAAAAGTTTATCATGGCTAAAAAACGTCTGAGCTCGACAATAGTGATAGGTTTTGGGAAGTCGGCAATTGCTTTTGTTTTCTCAGGCAGGGGTTTTACACCTGAGGCAGTAATGAGGCAACCTAAAAATGGAACAGATGGTTTTCTGAGTACACATATATTAGGGTTTAATGTCAAACCATGTTTATTCAAACGATCAAACACTTGACGAAGATGACGGATGTGCTCTTCTTCGCTAGGCAATGCAATAAGGGTGTCGTCAAAATAAGGGATGCAAAAATCCAATCCAAATAAAACTTCACGTATAAAACGTTGGAAAGTTTGGTCTGAATTTCGTAAACCAAACGGCATAGCCAAAAATTCAAAAAGACCAAAAGGGTTTGTGACGGCAGTTTTCGAAATGTCTGCGGGGTTAACAGGAATTTGATGATAGGCACGTGCTAAATCAAGTGTTGAAAATATGTTCTTTCCTGAAAACATTTGAGTGCAATTCTGAATATAGGGTACGAGATAGCGATCCGGAATTGTAACGGCATTTAAGCGACGATAATCCCCGCACGGTTGCCAGTCGCCATTAGCCTTACGAACCATGTGCAGGGGGCTTGCCCAAGAACTTTTTGAAGGCTGAATAATGTCTTTTGATAGGAGAAAATCAAACTCTTGACGTGCAGCTTGAAGTAATTCTGGAGATAATCTTCTAGGTTTGGAGAAAATAGGAGGTCCTTTAGTTTCAATGTGATGGAAAATTCGTTGACATTGGTGGCCTCTCAAAAGTTTGCGAAGGATTCGTCAAGCTAGGGTAATCGGCAAGAATTTTGTCAAATTTTGAGTTACCCATCAAAATATGAATGCTAGTACTGAGCGGGTTCACATTAAGGAAGTCTACCGCAAGAATATAGTTTTGTTTGTCCATCAATTAAAACGGTTGTTTTTAACGTCTATGAGTAAGTTGAACTTTGTGAGAAAGTCAACACCTATGATGGGTTGATTGACGTCTGCCAGGATAAAAGGCCAAGTAAATGAGCGACGTAAGTTTAAATTGATGGTCAAAAGTTTGGTGCCATACGTTGCAATTTTAGTGCCGTTAGCGGCAAAGAGTTCCAATGCAGCTGGTTTTTATGCTGACTGTAACTCTTGGGAATGACAGATAAATCGGCTCGGTGTCGGTGTCAATTAAAAAGTCAGCTTTGAGGATGAATCGGCCAAAAGAATTCGATTGATGTGGCGGTCGCAACGTTGGCCGGCAAGCGATCGCCGATCTAGTTTTCCGACTGCCGGAAATTGCACGGAGAAACACATTTTCGTGCCTTGGAACCAAAATTAGTATGGTAGAAACAGATGTTGTTGCACGGTTCTTTATACTGTCGATAGCGTCCACTAGATCTATTGACGCCTACTGTTGCGTTGGGAATAGTCTCTTCGTTCACAGGAACGCTCACGGCTGTTTTTGAGGGCTAGCGAAAGTTCATTTACCTGCTTTGTCAGCTCTGCAATTTGCTGTTCAATGGGAGAGGTAGATGACGTAGCAGCACTATTTATGTGCGGGAGAGTTGTGAGATCTGTAATTTTATCAGCTACAACTGCTAGTTTTGGAAGATCATCACTTAAGGCAGCAAGAATACTTTGTGTATTTTGCGGGAGACGAGATATCCATAGGGATTTCAACAAAGGTTCTCCAACGGTCTTTCCAGCGAGGTTTCGCATACGGCAAAGTAATTGTGATGGGCGTTGATCGCCAAGTTCTAGCCCTTGAAGAAGTGTACGTATCTTTGACCCCTCGCTTTCAGAATGCAATTCAATTAAGCGTGTTTTTAGTGTATCATATTTGCCAGTCACAAGTGGGTGTAAAATGATATCACAAACGCTATTGAGAATATCAGATTCGATTGCAGATATCACATGATTGAATTTCGTGGAGTCAACAGTGATTCCGGCGATATCAAACTGGGCCTCTAGTTGTGCAAACCACAAAGTAGGGTTGACCTTCCAAAATGGGGGAGGTTTGACGGAAACACGTGAAATATTAAGATCGTCTGCTATGGGTTGTGCTGGAGCCATGATTCACAAAAACAAATATATATTGCCAATATGACACAAATAAATACACAATAATCAGTCACTAATAAGTTCACATACGACACTAGTGCAAAATAAATAAAGTTAATGTAAACATTAACGTGAGAGAAACACTTTTGCAGGTAAGCTATCCGAATATAAGCATAAGTTATACTAAGAATTTGTGTGGCTTACCTCCGAATTATACGAGAAATATTTGCTCAGTCAGCAGCAGATTTGGCACAACACAATTCACTTATAGAAAAAATATTCCGAAAAAAACTTATTTTATGATATGTAACCACGTCGTACGATTTATATGGAGATCACTTCAAAGCACTTTGACGATTTGCATGAGACACATGATAATTCACAAGCACGTTGTTAAGCAGGCACAACTGTTTTTCACACTATATTGCTGATGACAAGAAAATAATGATGGATTACGCTAGTAGTTTGCATGAACAGAAATAATTTTCACTTCATAGCACGTTATAATCACAGAACTTGAGGATGCAAGCAGGTTACAGGAGGCACGTGTTCACTAACTTGACGAGTCACCATTTATGGCTATTGTTGATGGATGACATTTTTGATTTCACGTTGAATGTTAACAAAATCTGACTCGGTAATATTAACATTTATATTTAATTCTAGGATGATATATATTTTAACATATATTCACTTATACACAATCACATTGCATGTAGTTACAAGATGAGCATTTTTCAGTTCGCAAGTCCGCATGAGTAAAAATCAAGAAAGTCATATTACAGCTACGATAACACCACGGAGGGAAAGAGAGGTTAGTGCGTGCTTCACCGACGGCAGCCAGGAACCGAGTAACCAGTTCGAATTTTCCTCCAGAGAGGAAGAGGAAGAAAGCTGGTAGCACCCTCTCTCGGGGCAGCGGACAAATAATAATAATAAAGAGTTCTCCACAAGTTTATTCATCATCTTTTCTCAACTTGATTCCTCTTTTCTTTTTATTAGCTTACTTTGTAAATTATTTTATTGTATTCATAAAATAGTCTATAATTTAGAATGATTTAATTAATTTGCAGATTATTAAAATAATTATTAAGGCTAATATTATTTAAAGCAATTAATGCCTTGTATTCAAGTTTGAGAAAAGCTCTATAGTTTCACTCAAGAGCAGTTTCCAGTTAGTGGATTTTATGTTTAGTATTCTTCTGCACACAGATTAAAAATACATAAAACTGCAAAACAGTATAATCATAATTTCATGTATTATCTGTAATTTTCAGGAACAACATTTTATATATCAAAATTAAGTCAAACATAGCCCTGAACAAATGATAACCCTCTACTTTAAGAGTTATTGTATGGTTAAAAAATTTGAACTGAACATAAAATGGGCTCAGAATAGATATGTTGAAGGAATTCTATAAAGTGGATAATTAACTGAATTAACTGACCTATGATGAAATTAAATAATTATGCTTTAACATGTTTTTTTAAATGCTACAGTAAGGAAACCACTTAATGTGATCACATTTGTCCACAGCTATTTTGATAACATTAAATGATGTGAAAAACCATCCTTAAAAAATAGCAAAAGAATTTAATATAAATATTCTTAAAAACATAAATAGGCACTTTCACAGCATTTTAACTAGGAAAATGCAAAAGTTTGTTTATGAAGTGCTAGTAATATCTTTGTTGCTTGTTCATTTATGAACGCTTCATAAATGTTTCTCGAAATTACTTGACTGATGCTGGGTACTTATAACCAACTCGGAAGATATCTCTCACTGGGAGAGAACTCGTCAATGTAAAATTTTAAAATAGGCAAAAAAAAAAAAAAAAAAAAAAAAAAAAAAAAGCAACTACAGTTTGGCCTTTACGCAACCTATGTTTTTGCTCCTGACAAAGACTGATATGTGTCTGATCCCCTCAAGATCGACAGAATTACTGAAATTTGTGTCAAACTCAAGCTGTTTCTTTGCTCAATTTGACTAAAATCGAAACCAAGGTGTTTGGATGCTTAATTATTTGGTTACATTCCTCTGCAATTTGATGATTTTTATAATGCATTTTAATTTATTTCAGTTTTAAAAAATTATTATATAGTATTTTAATCACAAAAACTGAATTATAACAAAATCTGAAAGATAACATTAGCGGTGTCTACTGTATATTGCAAATGTCAGATGGGTATGATTTTTAGAACATTTCAAGAGAAAGCATCACCAATTTGGGTGATTATAGTAATTTATATCAACTCTTTTAACAGAATAATTTCATTTTCATCATTAATATATGGGGAAAATAGCGTTAAAAATATTCAGTTAAGTGAAAAAATGCTTTAATAAGTCTGGTCTACATAATCCATAAGCTCATATTAATCATATTCTGTTAGCCAACAGGTCAGATGAATTATTGTGAATTAAAATACATACATATCTTATTTTTAGATTTATAAATATTTAATTGTAAAATGAAACTTAACTTCCACTGAGAAAGTAGTTGTTATTCAAAATCTAGCTCTACTACAATAATTCATTTATATCACTTTTAAGTAATAAAAAAGGGGAATAATAGCTTCATCATTTTTTTTTTTTTTTGATAATATATTGAATCTAAACTGTTAATTGAGATAAAAATTTTTAGCACTTGAGCTAAAAGCTTTTTTTTCTTCTATACACAATTCACCAAGAATCAGAAATACTTTATAGGATATTTACTTCACAGATTCATATTTAATATTATTAAAATTGGAGTTGTAAATGGAAAGGGTTAAATTCTCTCCCTCTCCATTCCATAAGGGATGGAAAGGAATTTATTATTAAAATGTAATCATAAATAAATGGATAATTAATCAAATTAGGAGACTATTTAATATAGCTAAATTTAATGGGAGGAAATTTCTTCCCATTATATGAGTATATACATATATATATAAACTTTCTTGTAGCGAAAGTACATAAATTTTAAGAACAAAGCAAAATACATTTTACCAAAATAATTTGGACAACTCTAGTTTATATTTAGCTGACATTCTATACAGTCATGATATTAAGGAAAGATACTATACTATTAGTATAGTATGATATTAAAGAAGGAAAAAATATTGTTTTTTCCCGACACCAGTCGTAATGTTATTTTCTTCCTTCACATTCATATGGGGTTCGAATAGATTTGGAGTGAATAATGACAACAGCACTTGATGGAATATTGAAACACACTTTATTTACCAATATAATTCAAGACAGCTCCAAAACACTTTTTACAGTTGTCGAAGATCTACGATACACTCACTGAAACAATCAGCGACACAGCCTTCAGGTTATCAGGCTATAATAGTGGAGACAGCTTTACTGCAAAGCACCAGAGTGCAGCTCCTATCTCTGCTTGGTCGTTCTCGGAACTCCACATACTCTTGAGACTCTCCACACTACAACTTGCAATGCACTCGACAACCACACAGAGTACAGTTCCTGACTCTTCGGTTCAGTCGTTCCAGGAGCTCAACATACTCTCTCGACAATACGCTAAGAGACTCTTTCGATGCACTCGATGACCCACTTGGCCCTCGCTGCCCGGCTGTCAATTCATTCGACTCCGCACAGACTGACTAACTATCTTGCACTATAGACGAGGTGCACACACACACACTGACTGCGAACCAGCAGGGTTTATATAGCTTTCGGCTTGTGTTCGAGAACATTCCGGCCTAAACTGGTAAGAATTCGTTCCAGAAGGTTCTCCATTGGTCTATGGCATATCACCAATTTTGTCGCCAAATGGGTGATTTCTTGCTAGATGTGGCAACCTGCCTTACCTTGCCATTTTATGGCAACCCTAAAACTGCTTTGCCGGGAAGCCATTTACCGTGCCTGTACATTTCGTAACAATATTATATGATGTTACATATCATATAATAATTTTCCCAATTTTTTTCATCGTAGTCATAACTTTGAGAGTGCTGTTGTTTTAAATCACCACAATCCTAAATGCATACCTTCAAATAACAATATTTGAAGTTTCATATTGATTGGTTATGCAGTTTTTTGGAAAAAGTAAAAATCATAATATTACTGAAACAATTGCTTTTAGCTAGAAATAGAAATTCTTATTAGTAAATCATTAGTTTAGAGACAAATTTATTAAAATAACTTACTATAAAAGAAGTAATGCTGCGCAAAGTTGATTCCCATAAAAAACAGCTATTGAGAAATCTAATCACTTCTACAATTCCAAAAAGCATAAGCTTTACCCTATTAACATTCTTCACAAATATCTGTGAGGAAAAACAAAAATGTGAGTATTCATAAATGAAATGGAAATAAATAAAAAATTACAGTACTTTTTATATTACTCACAGATCTTTTAAATCTTTGTTCTTGCTGCATATATTTTGATTCTTTAGGAGTAAATGTAATAATGCTAGCTCTAATCTAGAAAGAAAAAACAGTAAAATTTTTCTAGGAAATAAAATGAAAGTTCATATTTATTAAAAATGCAAAACTATTCAAAATACTGCAGAAATAAATACTAAAAACTTGGAACAAAACATTTACTCTTCTCAAAATTATAATTTTTATATCGAATTTATTTGAGTTTATTGTAAATGATATGTAAATATTCAACATTGTTTAATGTGTACTGAATATTTAAATGTAATATTCAGCTTCATATTTTCATATGTGTTTGTAATAGATTGAATGCACACCTCTCCGATGATAGGTTGACAAAATTTACTTCTATTAAAAGAACACTTTGGAGATTTGGAACTTTCCACAGAAATAGTCATACAACTCTTCACAGTATCACAGAATACAATTAGTAGTTACAGTTCAAACTACCATGAATGTTAAACACAATGCAATAAAAAGTGCAGCTAAAGAGAAAGCTACTCAAAGATATCTCAGTACTCCAAACTTGTGTTGCTAACAACAACTGAGAGCAGATGCTCTCACTGGCCTTATATAGTTTTCACCCAGCCGCCAAGAAATTTCTACTCAAAATTACTGGATGACAATATCAGGGTCAAATTACGGTTGCAGCTGATCAATTATATCACCGTATTACAGTGATACAGGAACCGGACCAAAATGTCGCCAAGTCTGGCAATCTCTCTCCAATTTTAGAGACAGAAATAAGCTACCAAAAGCATTGCCAGCTTGGCGATACCTCACCAAATTACTGAGATACCTACTTACTCAATGTTAAATAGATTTGCCTCTGTATTCTTACACAGCTGGTCCCCAAATTTTTTTTGTGTTACATTACACAGAAAAATATGACAATTTCACATATAATTACACTAAAATCTATGTATAAATTCGTAACAATATATAGGTACAAATAAAGTGGTTACAGATTCTTTATGGCAGATTTATTGAATTATGATGTAGCACTACATTTTAGAATAAATTTATATTTAGTCTCCCTTATTAATTTAGATTGCTTATTTAAACAATTTAGATAATAATTTAAGTCAGATTATCCATGCAATATTTTAAATCATTTTCTAAATTATAATGAAATTGTTTTTAAATGAAAGAAAAAATCTCCATGCCATGCCTCCCAATGATTTGAAACATCAAAACATTCTGTATCTCATAATATGCTAAATATGGTGAGTCCTGTAAAAAGGCAATTAATAAATCATTGTGAATAGTCAGATATGGAATTAAAAAAATGAGTTCAGCACAAGAAAATAATAGCAAAGCATTTTAACCTAAGACTACTTGACTTGTTCTAAAAGTTTGAGAATGATTTACAACTATTTATAATGCTATAATAATAATATGTAGCATTCAAAATAAAATATGGATTGATTATTTAAAAAACAATAATACATAAATAATAATGCATTCACTATCCAAAATCAAAATAAAATGGGTCTTTTCATATTATTTACAATTTAAAAGAGTGAGAATCTGTATAGTTTAAGAAAAATAAAAAAATAACATTTTCAAACATTCAAAGGCTTTACTTACAGGATTATAAAATGCATGGAGTTCCAGTAGTATTTGTCCTTTTACTCTTGTCCTGAGCTTTTTATCTTTTAAAACATACCATTTTTTCTCTCCATTTCTTATCTATATAATAGAAAAGCATACTTTCAAGAACTTTTAGCAGAAAAACGATAAAATAGATTAAAATAAATAATAATAAAAAAAAAAATTTAATGCAAGAGGAGACCTAGATTTACAACACATTCAATTATCCATTGTACGTCCATCATAACAGAAAATTTGTTATTTATTAATTATTTGAAAATTATTTTTTATCATGAAAATTTATTTCATTCTAGAATTTAAATAAGTTTTCATAATAATTTACAGAACATGCTATTAGTAATTTTTATTATATAATTTTTAATCTTTCAAGGTAACATATTTTAGAATCATTGCAAAATAACTAAAATTACTCAAATAACTCAATTGCACAGTTATCTAGCATTAGCAATTTTATTTATATAAAATCATGAAGCAGCACATATTGAAGAATAATTTATGTGAACACAAGTTTCCCTTGTTTTGCAAAAGTGTATATGTAAAACCTTTCATAAGACAAAAAAACGAAGAGTTAAATATTACATTAAAATATTTCAGGTTTATTTAAAATGTTTAATTGGAAAATGGATATTTACAATTTATAAATGTACTTCTCTCTTACAACACCATAATTAGCTGTGAATTAAATTTAACTCTAAAGGCAATGAAAATCGGAATAAAAAGAGAGCTTCAGTACCTTCAGAAGAGGAATGCCAACTTTTCCTAAAAATTCACACCTTTTGTCTCTGTCTTCATCATAAACTGTAACTTCCAGCACAGAATGAATATCGGTGATCTGGCTGTAAGATTATATCAAACTTAGTTGAATATTAAATTATGACTAGATATTTCAATAATCTTTCACAATAAAGAATATTGTCATAATAAATCAACAGATTTACAGGTATTTCAGATACGTTCAGAGAAATTTTATATGCATACTGATTTTCATCGTAAGAAAATGTTTGATAATAGAAACCGTGGACAGTAAAAAAAAAAAAAAATTAGCACCTTAGACATTACAATACTATTTATCATTTGTACAATTTGGCAAAATAACCAATTCTCAATTTCTAATTTGATGCAATCTATTCACAGCAAATATTTACTACTAATAGATGAAATCATTTTCATTCCTGTTTAATATAAAAACTAAGCTTGCTTTATGTTGAGAGACCAACATGCAGATTGACTACGATATGCAGCAGTCTTTCTTCTCTTCGGTTTCTGGGAAGATGCTTGACAGCAGAATTATGGAATTGTAGAGACTGCACCAGGCTGTAAAATGTCTAGCACTGGACTTGGATAAGCTTAAAGTAGAAATTTATTTACTCCTGACACTAATAAGCCTTACGCATGAGCTAGAAATAGCTGTTATGCATTATAAATAACTCAAACATAGTAGTTCAGCGTTAACATTGTGAGCATGTGATGGAAGCAAGACAAAAATTTAGCCAAACAACACATCTTTAATCTGCAACCTCATAATACATCACCAATAGTTTACAGCAGACACTAGATAATCCTTTATAAAAATAGCTGGAAGTTTGAAGGTTTTTCAGACATAGCAAAAAGGGAAATTTTCCAATTAATGGAATTTGTGGAGAAATGGTAATGAAAGATAGAATAACAGAAGTTTTTCATTGCAATGACTATGACCTAATCATCAGTCAACTAATGGGCAGCAAAGTCTGTAGTATGGTTCTAAATCCAGAAAATAATGCTACCAATAGTGAAGGAAATGACAGAAAGGTGTCTGAGAAATTTAGGAAAAAAAAAAAAAAAATTAGTGAGAATTCTTGACATCATAAATCAAAATTTGAATAATGGAACTTGACGTTTGCACCACGTTATTTTCATTTTTGCGATAAATGTCTATCAAAGTGGTGTTCATGTCGCTCGCGGTTTGAGACAAAAGCATCTCGACGTGTTTTTTAGCGCAAGTGGTTAAAAGCATAAATGCTTCCTTATTTCATAAATCGCTATTTTATAATTTGTACATGTCATGTTACTAGATTTAAACTAATGATCTTATATCCAGAAAAATCCGGAATCATCGAAGACCCGATGAGTCCAGATCTCAGACTTTGTCCCGGATAAATTATTGATTTGAACAATTATTAAGATTGAAGACTTAAGCAACATTTTAAATGCCCATTTAAATTTTAAAATTTCATGATACCTTGTAAAACTTCATTGTATACCAGTATACTGCAATATACGGATTGAGAAATATTAAATTATATAGTAAATTAGCCAAAATTTTGAATGTTCCTTTTTCACATTTCAGTATAAACTGCACATATAATCAGAACATACATTTTACAATATATATGTATATACATATGTCAGCAATTTCGCAATGTGAATACCAACTTTTAAAAAAGAGAAAGTGAGAATCTCAAAAAAGAATACCAATAAACAGAAAATAGTTTAAATAATCAACATTCTTAACCTTCCAGCACACACACTTGGCAATTTAACATGAGAACGTGCGCGTCGTATTTTTTACGACATCTGTTATTTTACCGTTTTTGGCACGAAAAACAACAGAAATGAGTGAATATTTATAATAAATTTGTTAAGAAATAAAATATTAATCTTATTATTGCAAAATACAAATGGTTTCAAATATAAATATATTATTTTTAAATTCTTATGTTAGTGAAATGGAAATGCAATGATGTATTTCATTATAGAACATTTTAAATTTATTATTTAATAATTATATTTTAAAATCGAAGCTAATTTTAATATTCATCAAGGGCAAGTATAGACAAATAAAAAAGGAAAACACCTCGGTAAGAAAAAAAGTAAGTTTTAGCATTACTTACTTCTGCAAGGAAATTCACTTCTTACTGATTACAAAAACAGACTTTTAAACTAACTTTAATATTTTTATTTATTTAAAGAAAAATAGAAATAAAAGAAAATAAGGAATGTAAATCGCTATTGTTTCCCATCCAAAGGTTTCCTTGTCTTCCTCTTCTTCATCAGATAATTCTTGACGAATGCAAGCAAAATCAGCTGGTTGTACATGCATTTTTGCCATAAAAACTGATATAAAATTTACAGAGCCAAATGTATTCAAATTAAAATAATACATGGCAATTAATAACATAAAATTATAAAATATTTGAGAAAAAAATATTTTCCGAATTTTCACTCATGAAAACGCGCGTGCGTCGTAACTTTTACAAAAAAGCTGCCACCTAGCACAAATGCCCAGTAAAAAAAAAAAAAAAAAAGTCAAATGACTTCCTGTTGGCACATTCCATGATATGGGGAAGGGTAGAAAGGAGGAATAGAAATGACATTCAGACGTCTCAGCTTTGATATCCGAAAAGTGTGCATTAAAAACTGAATTTGTCGTAAATTTTGCGCATACACGTGTGGTGGAAGGTTACAGTAATAAATGAGGGGGAGGGGGGGAGATAAACTTAACACAAAAATTGAAAATCAAGCAGTCAAAATAGCTTCAAAAAATGTTTGGAAGCAATACAAAGAAAATATTCTATTACAGAATTAGAACAAGTTAGAAAAATTTAAATCACAAATACATTTGAAATTTAATCTTTACGAATTTATAAGTAGATAACTCTCTCCAGCTCAGTGATTAATACACAGTAACCTCATGTTCCTCACGGTAACGCAAATGGAATTTTCATAAGCATTCTTTGTACATCTAATTTCCACATGTAAAAGAAAATTTAGTCTTATTAGAAATACAAAGACTTATTTTCATTATGCTTAAAAACTCAGTTCTGCAGATATTTAGTAACATAAGAAATATTCTATAATTTCATCTTTCTGTTTTTATGGCAATTTTGTTATTTTATACTACCAGCGCATTTATCGTTCACACAAGCCTAGGAAGGTTGCCATTTTTACAAGGCACAAAATCTCTTGTTTGCCACCTACATAACTGGGCAGAATGTCAGTTCTCTGTTGAGATTTTAGCTATTTGATATTTCTTATGATCTTTAGTTTATTCTACAAATTAAAACAGTATCATGCTTAGCTAAGAAATCTGAAAACATTACACACATATTAACATTATACATTTCCAAACTTCTAGGAGGGATATGGTGCAACCCAACGACTCTGAATCATATAACAATGCAGGATCTGAGGTGCTTTTCTCATGCAGTAGATGGCGTTGCACAAAAGTTCTGAGAGTTCTTTCAAGGAATCATCATTTTGGACAAGGAATCAGAATTAGTATGATGAATAATTATATGAATGTGGAGTTAGTCAATACGCATTTGGCATATAAGGCTGCAGGCTGTAGAGGGCCAGCCGCAAAGTGTTTGCATGCAGAACAATATCCTACGAGGTATACACCCAGCCATAATATTTTACAATGCTGCACTGGATATTAGCTGAAACAGATTCCTTTTAAAGAGATGCCATGAACTGGGCATGAGCAGCATGGACTTTAAACATCAAAGAGAATGCTACATCAGGTGCAGGGGACTTCAAGTTTGAGTATGCGAAGTGTAGCACACGCAGTCGAGGTTTCCCCTTCCATCATCTGGAGGATTCTCAGAGAAAACTAAATGCATACGTATCACGTGCAGCAATACCAGACACTTCAACTGAGCATTTATACACCTGCTATTGCTTTTGCACAATAATATCTTGAAAAGTGAGCTACAAATCACAGATTCTCTGCTGATGTGTTGTTCACCGATGAGGCATCCTACACAAGGGAAGGAATATTCAATGCACATAACACATATCTCTAGGCTGTAGAGAACCTTGATGCAGTACAATGTTGTGCAGTACAGAGTTGGTTTTCAGTTAATGTTTTGGCCGGCATTGTGAGGTATCGCCTCACAGGACCTTACCTGTTGCATTTCGTCTAACTGGTTGTAGCTACTTGATCTTTCTGAAGCAAGTAATACTACAACTTTTAGTCAATGTAATACTGTCAAACACCAAAAATCCGGCGACCTGAAATCTGCCAACTCCAGAAATCTACATTGCCTCTCAGAATATAAACATGTTACTTTTATTCATGTAAATTTATTAGTTCATAGGTTCCGGAAACCGCAACATTGAGTACAAAATATCGAAGGAAAAAATAATTACCGAATAATAACGGGTCAAAACGAAAATAACAAATTATTGATATAAAAAGTTTAAAAAAAAAGTCTTTCCTTCTAATCTGCATCGAGGTAAAAAAGCAGACGATTCACTCAACTCTTTGTTCAAGTTCCCGATTCATGTTGTTGTATTTTCTGAGCTTTGTTATTTCATTTCCCGAGACTCTTTAGTGCTGCCTTTTTTTTAATCTGGATATTTTGTAGATAAATTAAGAATATTTTAAATTTCAGCCCTTTTTAATACAATGACAGATAAGAAACGCACTCATGATTTTACTGCTTGCAACATTGAAAAACGTGAACACGTTGCACTGACGGTAATGCAAAAAGTGCAAATTCTGCAAAAGATGGAAGCAGGTGCTACTCCTCGATTTATAGCACAATGGTATGGAATTGTGACACAATTGTGTATGATATACGGAAAAATAAAGAAAAGCTGTTGAAATTTTACGCGATTCCAACACCGGAATCCGAAACCGGAAATCTTTGCATGAGGCGAAATCGGCAAACCTTGATGCTGTGTACATATATTACAATGAATAATATAATCAATTTATATATGTAATAATAATTTAATGCATATAATAAATTATTGCAATAATGTATAGAATAATTTAATTTAAATGTATCTAATATGCCTTATTCGTTTTGCACTTTCAGTCTGAATATTATGCTTTATCTTTTCTGTTCTGAAATCCGCAAAATCCTAAAATCCACCCGATCTCTGGTACCAAGCTTTGCGGATTTCTGGAATTCTACTGTAATAGGTTTCTGTATCAATAGGACAGACAATGTGGTTCCAACATGATAGGCCACTGCCCATTTCTGCTATAATGTTCGTATCCACCTAGATGTTAGATCTGACCAACAGTGGATCGGACATGGTGATCAGGTGCATTGGCCTGCTCGATTGCCAGACCAATAATGTCTTGATTTCTTTTTAAGGAAGCGTATAAAGGCACGGGTTTATGACATCCTCATTGGCAATGCTGAGGTGCTGGTTGCACAAATCACAATAGCTACTGGGCAAATTCAAGATATGCCTGGAGTATTCCAGATTATTCAGATTTCCATTATGTGATGTATGCACTGAAATCAGTGAATGAAACTTCAAACATTATCTTTTACTAATGTTACTTTTATTCATGTAAATTTATTATTGAAATGGATATTAACTTGCCTGGCATCTTTTATTTTCTGATGTTTCTGTGTACACCAGTGTGTTAGGAAATCATTTCCAAACCTGCATTTCTATATGATTCTGATCCACCGGTGTGCTTCCTACCCCTGCTAGAAGATCTGAAACATGGTACTGAGACACCCTGTATATTTCTTAATTTAATTAAATTTTTTTATATTATTACTACTTAATAACTGCATTTAAATCACATAAATTATAACATTCTCAACTGAAATTCAATTCTGTAAACATATTCACTATTACTGCTGTTAACATTTGCTATATTATATACTTAAGTGCAGAATAATAATTTATACATTGCATAAATTTTTTTTCCTATCCATTTACACTTTTTAACAGAACTTCATAATAAAAATTATTATAATTACAACATTTATAATATAGCAAGTTAAAGATAACTTAATACTTTTATGTATAAACAGCAATGCAAAGATCTCTTAGTTCTGCTTAATGATCAAGTAGTATCCATACTTGTTTTACAAAAAATATAATCCAATATTGCAAGTATTAAATTTTTTTAAATTGCTGACTTACAACGTAAATATTTTATTCCATTCAGGTGTTAAAGTTTTGTATTCTGTATGAGTCTGTAACCTGGCATTTACCAACTCAACAACACAAAAAGGGTCACTTTTTCCACACAGATCAGCAGCTGCTAGGCCTTGAGCTTTGAAAACTGGAAAATTGAATATTACACATTATCAATATAGGTTAATTTAAATATACAGTATACAGTCAAAAGTCATTAATTTGGACTCGTTGGGACTTCGGCGATTCCGGATTATCGATTTTTCCGGATTATGGATCATAAGTTTAAATCTGGTAAGATGGCATGCAGAAATTATAAAGTTAAAAATATGAAACCGTAATTTATGAAATACAGAACAATTATGATCTAAAGGGTATCAAAATTTAGAAAAAAAAAAGCTTAATATTTATTTGTTTACTTTATTAAACATTTCTTTCAATGTAAGTTGTTTAAGTTGCTTCATTTTTTATGTGATAATACATTCTCTTTAATTCTATAAACAGACATAATTTCTTCTTCAGTTACAAAGTTCCACTGTTCAAGTCCTATAATTGCTGTGTCGAGAATACTGATCAATTTGTCAATCGAAATTTTTTCGTTTTCAATAACCTCTGTCACTTTCTTCGCTATCGGAAGTGAATTATAATGACAAGGAATTTAAATCATATCAAAGACGGAGTAATAAGCCAAATAAAATAAAAACATCTGTCCTGAAGATAAGGATAGTGCTGACAGATCAACTTCCAATTCATTGCGCTCCGCGGCGTTAAAGATAAACAAAGGATATGCCTTTATCCATTTTTTGCAGCAATTCCACTTTTTGTTTAATGGACTTCAAAACATACTTTCGCTTTGTAGAACCTTTACATATTAGTAGATATATATCAGAAATTCTATTTGACATAATCGAAAGTTCAAGCTTACTTTTATAAAATTGCTCTAACAGTCTGCAAAAAATAATAATCCGGATCCAATTCGAAGATTAAGGAACAACGCAATCTGCAAAATTAACTGAAATAGATAATTAGATAATTTTAGCTTAGCTTATCCCGTCCGTTATACATTAAATGCGCATTTGTAAACGTATTTTGCACATGCATATTCACAGCCATACAGGTCAACGGGACGCATGCGCAGAAAGTTTGTAGCTTTGAGGTCTGGATTATAGATCATTCCAAATTATGGGTGTCCGAATTAACGATTTTTGACTGTATATGATGTATATCAGAAAATTACCAGATTGTTATTATTGAGACCATCTTGTTGAATGAAGGCAAAATTATTCCAGGATTATAATTTTGCAGTCTGCTCTGTTCTACCACATAAGTTTAATATATAAACAAAAATTTCTTTCATACTTTTTTTTTAACTTCTTGTTTTATTTCATCTGAAGTTTTGGCAATAGAGAGCACAACATATTTGTATTAAACTTGTGCAAAACTTGATAACTGCTACCAAAATCCTTGATATCCTTCATATCGCTTTTGGCAACAATATTTCAAATTTGACAGATGTTTTTCAATGGCATTCACATTTCAAGCTCCTCCCCAAAAATTCAGATCATATTAAAAATCCATTAGTTTATGGCCAATGTTGAAATTAATCACGAAGTGTATCAAGACAATTTAATAGAAAATTTGAAACTACAGCAGCAGACTGCTGTGAAGGTTTATTTAATTCTTGCCCCTACATTCCTGAACGTTACGCAGTTTTTGACAAAAAAACACACACAGTTATCAATCTGTATTCCCCCTATTTGATCTAGTTCTCTGCAATTTTGCTTTGTTTAGGTTGAAAGTGACAGTAAAAGGGTGATATTTTGAAACTTTGGTATTCAATGGGAATCATAAATTATCTTCAACAGCTTCAAAGATAATGACTTTCATAATGCTCCTGAAGCATGGAAAAACCAATGATATTTCCATATGCATACATAAGGAGACAATTTTGAAGGAAATGGGAGGTAAAATAGAATAAAAGTTACAGAATTTAATTTTTCATCAAATCTTTCTAGTTTTCCAATAACCTTGGCAGATTATTACAAATATACAGTATATTATAACTATATTACACAGCAGAATTCCAAAGCGCTGTACTTGTGTTAGCAATGCATTTGGATAAACTAGTTTGCACTTTTTTTTGTAAGAAAAAAGGCACATTTACTGTAATTTAAATAATGGAATTTTATTTTTTATTGCATTTTGTTTCAACAAAAATTATACAGTTAAATTAAAATGCCTTCATTTCCATAAACACATTTAATTTTGTGCCCAATAAAATAAATAAAATAAAAATTATGCCTCATCAAGAATAAAATATTACACATATTAGGGACAACATCACCAAAAACCCACAGTTAACCCTAGAATACTACCATTCATCTCCTGGACGAAGCACATAACCTTGTCCTAAAACAACTTTTGTACGACCTTGGCTGCTACACATAAAGACATTACTTCTTCCTATAATATTTCCACATGTGGCATTCTTATAACAATGTTTGTCTCACAGTGAAATGGTTAGCTGTAATGTTTGAATTTCAAAATCCAACTTAAAATTTATTTCTTTGTTGCCTTGAAGATGTCAAAGCGTTTTCACTGAGAAAATATTTGGGGTAGACCTGAGGCTATTGGAGATCTGTTAAAAGAACTAAGTGTTGAGTCAGAGAAACATCATTTTGTAGAAGTTGATAATCATGAATTAACAAAGGGTGACAGAGATAAAAATGAGGAATTATCATTTCACAATAAAGATGAAGAAACAATGCTTGAAAAAAAAGGGGGAAGATAAAAATATGAAGTTGAAATATGAACCCAAAATATATTACCTGATAAATAATAAATTTGTCAGGTTACTGAAATTTTTTTAATAACCTGACAAATTTATTATTTATCAGGTAAAATTTAGCTGAAGGTAAAGATAAGTGGTCATCTGTTTCTAAATCAAGCAACAAAAGGTCAGCATCTCACAATATTGTTCAATTTATTAAAGGGCCAAAACACTGAGCCACAAAAGGGACCATAGACACATCGGATCAGATGTGCAACACTATATCATGTAGTAGAAAAACTCGTTGATGGTCTCTTTGTGTGTTTTGTATATGTGCATAATATGGCTAAAAAATCTGAAGAGACATTATTGAGAAAAAAGTTTGCAATAAAGCTAAATGAAGATGTTCTTGCTGCATGGATGAAGAAGCATCTCAATGGACCAATGCCTTGATCAATAAGAACAATTATAAGGGAACTGTTTAAATTGGATTTGAACATTCAACCTTCCAAACAATCTGACAGATAAAAAAAAAAAAAAAAAGTGCATTTTGCCCTGACAATTTGCACAAAATGATGTGCAATTTTTGTCAAACATGTTCCAGAGCAATGTGCTGGTATGTGTGCTAATATGCGTAAAGAGCGCTTTGAGAATAAATAAATGACACTTTCTCTCTTCTTGAAGTTCAAAAGTCATGAAATCCTCTGCATCTTTTACTCTAACTTTTAAAATAGGTTTTAAACATGCTTATGCACACTTCATCTCGGAAACAAATGGTTACCATTCCTGTAAGTTTTTCAAAGGGTAGCATTCTGGGCAAATGTTTTGGCCACAGGACATCACTAAGGATTATATATATGTGTGTGTGTGTAAGATAAAATATATTTGAATCAATATTCTAATTTAAATTTGCATCAGCCCTGTAACTCGTCATTTTAATTTGAGCATTTTTTCTATTCTTAAAATAGTAATAACTTTTTTGAAACTGCATCATATCTGAAAACTAATTCTGTATCATCTCATTTTATCCTTCTGCACTGTGTATAGTTCTTAGCCAATTAGATTAACAAAATATTTTACTATAAATAATGCTGGAATCAACACTATACTTTAAATAACTTATTTTCAGTTAGAAATAGGGTCTATGATCCAGGCACGCTGGTGTTACACCACTCACTTGCATACTATACACTCTTTTTTGCTGCTCTTTTGCCCTTCTCTCCTGCTCTAGCTTTCATATGCTGCTCGGATTCCTGTATCACCCATTGTTTGAAGAAGGTCTAAGCTTTAAAATTGTAAGATACATACTGTACCTATAATTCTGTGTGAAGCAAATATTGGGTTTCTAAAAATGCTTTATCCAATAATAAAATTAAGTCAAACTCGGACCACTTTCTATCTGCAAGTCCACCATTTCCATCTAAACGGCTTTATCAGTCAATGTGCACAGTTTAGTAATCAGCAAGTCTACACCATCGATTCATTACAGTTATAATTTAGTAGATAAGGATATTATTATCTGATACAGAAATCCTTGTCTAAAAGTTCAACTGTGCAGAATGAGCCCTATCTTAAAGCGTAGTTTACCCACAGAATTCAAGGAAATGTGTAAACCACAAGGATTGTAGCTTTGCTATGATAACTAATTTTACCTTATTCTTGCATTCATAGAAAACATCGCTCTTGATCTATTATTCAATGTCCAGAAATGGGGGGAAGAAAACTATCATCCACACTGCTTTGAAAATTAAACAACAAAGTATTTACATTAAAAGTGCCTTAATGAGTTTTTTCAGGGAATTTTCCCTAAATAATTTAACTATGCAGTGTCAATGATTTTGAAGGTCATTAATCTGTTTATAGAATGTGCTTCAAGTGGTGCACAAGGGATAAATTTACTCTTGCTTCCTCTCTTCATTTTTAGTCTAAAGGCACAATTTGCCCAGAAGGATTATTAATTTCATATTGGCATTTTGCGTTGATTCACTTTCTGTCTTGTTTCACTTTTCAGATTGTTGCCACTAAATATTATCGCGCTGTATAATATTTAAAGAAATTAAATAATGAAGAATCTGCATTAATGTATGCAAGTTTCTCGAATTGTGATAAAGCAACAGTACCTAGAGCCATCAAATTTTGAATAATGTAACTTTCACAGAATATGGGCATTTGATAGCCCTAATTTGGAATTTCTTTTATTATCGATTTCATATTTTGTAAAACTTTAATGTTTTTTTGATAAACAAACTCGATTTAAAAGCGAGCAAAGGCAACACTCCACTGGGGAGGGACCTTCTTATCTCCAGCGCACAGAACTGTTTATCGGAAATTCTAAAGATATACTCATTTTAAAATTATTTTGCGACATTACTGTTGAACTGAATTTTATGGTTTAAGCGCACAGAACACGATATTTAATAAATAAAGGTAACACATAAAACATTTAAAAAAATGCCCCTTTGACGTAATTTTAAATCTGAAACCTCGTATTTCAAATACTGTAACCAAATCTCTAATTTACATATTCATCTAAATTAACAAAGCTTTTTTCAATGCACGTACTATACTCTATTTATTTACTGTATGTATCTTTTATATTATTTAAAAGAAGGGGAGAATTTGAGTAAATTATGACCAAGTTAACTTGAACAGGCCGAGAAAGAAAAATAAGCAATCTAAATAAACAGTTCTATATATTTTGAATCTGAATATAGCTTTGTGTGGAGATTTATAGATTTCTTTTCTAGATGAAGTAGATATACTATCAAAGGATAAAATATAATAAAAATATTTCGAAGTTCATTTAAGAAACTAAAAAAAAAATCATTGCAGTGCGTTACTTTACATAATTTAACAAAAAATTAAAACCAAAAATTAACAAAAATGTTTTAATTTTTTTAAACCAAAAATAAGCAGCCCATATAACTGGAATTCCAGAAGATTAGGGTTCTGTTGTAGAAAGATAAAAAACAAAACATCATATTAAATGAAATATAAAAACTAACATACCTTTAACAATTAGATGACCAATATCATATGGATCTTTAAAAGAACTAAATAATCCCTAAAACAGAATGAAACAATCTAGCATTATGTAAATTAACATAGATTTTTCTACTGAAGTTTATGAGAAAAACAAATCATATTAAAAAACAATACTTCAATTTACAACATCAAATCTTTAATTTTTTAAAATTAATATTTGTTATATTCTGTTAAGAAATTCAAACCACAGGCATTTAGTTTCTTTCATCTGGGAATACGCATACATTTCAGATTTTGCTAAAAGTGTTTTCTTTTTGGGTGGTAGTTAAATAATTTCTTATCTATGTTCGTCATGTTCTGTTTACCTTCCAGCTTTGACTTTTCTAGCTGTTTTTAACTTTTCAAGTTTGTAATCAAATATCACAAAGCATATACAGATTATTTAAACCATCCTCATACCAACCTGAAAAGAAGATGTAGCTTTCCTCCTAGGAGCCAAACATGAGAGAAACCACTAGTGTTCAGAGTCTTAGCTACTGAACAACTTGAGTAGACAGTCCTATGAATAAATTTAGAGTAGAGTAGGAAGTACATCAGCTATTCTTCATAGACCTTCAAGCCCAGCTCTATCCTAATTTTGCCCAGCTGTATCTTTAATGTTATGATTATCTACCTGCATGAAAATATGATTACGCGCTTTCTAATAGAAACTGGCTTTTCTTATATTGGTTGTTGGCTGGGTGTTGTTGTATACACTGAAGAATTAAATTAAGCTGTGAGCTAGCAGTACCTTTTTCGCAAATTAAAGAACAACTACATAAGAAAGATTTTCTTAAAGATGTCCATCAAGATTTGAAGGTTTTGAAGTAGTATTAATATTGTATGGATAAACACATTCAAGACAAACATTATGAAAGCAAACTTCTAATTTTAATTTGCTATAACTTCTTTTATTTTTCATTTCATTTGGGAACTTCCTCTCTCTATTTTAAAAATAGCGCTATAATTCTAAACTGCATCATTCAAATTATCATGAGATCCTACGTAATGCTTAATGCAGATACGTCTTTGCTCAATCACTAAATAATTGTTAACCAAAATTTTTTAACTCAAACTGAAACTTTTTGAATATCTACCTTCTTTCTCTGAAATCCTGCAGCACATTAGCTTATGCTTTCCTCCTGGCAAGACGCTTTGCGGCTACCTTCTTTTTGTTCACTGAATATGTGTTGAGCTAATAAAAATATAGGGTGCATAAGACGGCCGTCCGTATATAAACCAAATATTGGTGAATCCAGAATTGTTTTCCTTAATAATAAAACTATCTTGAATCAGGCCATGTCTGCATTGCTAAGTTTCTTTGCTAGCCATCTGTTATGCCACCACCAAACTCCAAATCATTCATTATCATGGCATACATATATTATTGAGCTAGTTTATCAAGGTGCTATCCAGATGGAAACGTAGTTAGTTACTCTGACTGCTGTATTGTAGAGCCCGGGTTCAAATCCCGGATAAGGCATGGATGTAGTTTGTCCACTCCCTCATAGGCAGTAACAGTGGTCCACTTATTAGGTGCCTTCATAATAAAGAGACCATCACTTCTGGTTTTAGTAGTAGCCAATGCCTATAAGTGGCTAGAGCTTACCATTGGAATAAAAAAAAAATATCAACACAATTTTTATAATTGGTGTATACTTTTATTCCTACTGGGTTTATTCTCATTCTCTTGAAATGCTTTTTTAAAAAAATCTTAATGGTTTGAGCGATAGCTCTTATGATATTAAATTTCACAGACCTTGCACTTTATATTGAATTTTTGTCTTAATACTCTTACAGTATTGCCAACCACTTAGAGAAATCAGCTTTGTTCAGCTCCAAGATTCTTAAGACTAATTCATTGACAGCTTCTTTATATACAGATGTGACATGAGAAGGCATTCATAGTATTTAAGAATTTCGACTCTCCATTGGTGTTATGACTGATATTTTGTGCAAGTTCCGATTCTTGTATTGCCTTAAGGGTTGCCTTGAAACCACTAAATATTGTTGCTTTTTAAATTAAATTCATACGTGAAATTTCCAAACTTAGAGAGACATACATTACAATAAATTCAGAGATGAAGTTTGAGATTTTATATAATACAGGCAGCCTATTTAAATGTTAGGAATACAGCCCAGGACAAATTACTAGTATTTTGTAGCTGAAGCCATTCAATCATTTGACTAGAATATCTCAGAATATGAAATTTTTGCTATGTTTATCATTCTTTCCTTACCAAAGATTTCTTTAGATGACTTTCACACCAATAGATTACATGCTAACCTTGCATCATATAATTATGGCTTACCTTGAATTTTAACCCTTTAGACTTAAGGTTACCCTTTAGTCCCTCAAGCCTTAGCTGCTAATAATAATAATAATAATGGTTAAGCAAATTTCTTTGATATCAACACCTCCAAGCATTCATTTTATAATTTAAAATCAAAATATTTAATTTCTGGTTGATATTTTTATGTATAAATTAGGTATTTTATGTATATACTTAATTTTTCAAAACCTTTAACAATATTTTTTTACACTTCATTTAGAAGTTGAAAAATATAAAAAGTATCTACTAATAAATTAATTTAATTAGAAATCTATTGACAGATATTTTAATGTTCATGTTTTTGGTATATTAATTTGCATTTCTGACCCATAAATCAAGTGAAAATTTCAACTATGTTTTTGTTTCATATTTTAGAGCATCACACGTTTTACAGGTAATTTATTCCCCCCCCCCATATTCACTTCAATGATTATACATAATTTCACAGCTCAGATATTATTAATAAACCATTTAGAATCAGTTGCCAATTTAGTGATGAAGGTAATTTATTGCATATATAATCATGCTCCTAAAATTTTAATGAAGAAAGAAATAAGTGGTCAAAAGTGTTAAACAAATTGACGGTAATTTACGGAACATAAATGAAGTGGTAACAGCTATAATATACCTAAATACAGTAGCTAATTTTTTTTTTCTCTTTTTTTTTATCACTGACAGGCCCTCAGCCAACTTTGGCTTGGCCACTACTAAGGCCACAAGTGGAGGTCACTTTATTATGAAGGCACCTAATAGGTGGACCACCTTTGCCTCCTATGAAGGGATGGACAATTAACAACCATGTCATCTCCAAGATTCAAACCCAGGCCCTTTGGTATCGCTGTCGACTCCCCTGACCACTATACCGTCTTGGCAGCCAGTTGCCAAAGTACTTTATTTGAATAGCAATCTCAAAATTCCTTGCTAAAGCATATCTTAGTGATTAGAGTGGAAACAAATTATACAACTCAACAATTTTTCTTGTAATGTCACCTTTTGAAATAGAAGATAGTATTATAGTTTACCGGTATAGTATTGTTCCACAGCTCTAGTCTTTCTTAAGAATTAGAGTTTCCAGAACCTTTTATTTTTCTACACATGCTCCATGTGTGCATTTCATCCAATATTTACAATCACCACATTCTATATATAAGCTGCATTATATATAAGCTGCATTTGTCTTTTTAAATCACAAGTGTAACTTAAACATACAAATGAGAAAATATTGATGCATACTTATTGCTAAAGCATAGATATGCATAACTTGTTACCTACATTATAGAATGGAGCCATTCAAAGCAAATCTATAAAATTTATTGCTTCTGCCAATGATTAAGAAAGCATATTATGTACTAATATGCAGATGTAGTGTTAAATGAAGATTAAACTGCTTTACCAATTTTTCAACATACATTTGCATTTATATGACACCAAGAAAAATATAATTTGAAAGTTAGAAATAAACACGAGTTTTTATTCCTTTAACCTACTTTTGGTTCCCCCCCTCCCCCCCCCCGGATTAAATTAAAAAAATTCTTATTAGGTTAGCTAAAAGAAAAGAAGAAATTACGTTCCTAAAAAATGAATTTTTTTTTTTCCTTTACAGCCCTAAGCAAAAATAAAGGATTTTCCTCGTATGTGAAAATATAGTATTTTCAATGGTAAAAGTACACTTTACATACTTTAATGTATACAATTTATGAAAAAAGATTTACTATATTTATGTATGTTACATAAATATAATTATACTTACTATTGGGCATTATCTGCAATGTGTTTTATATATTATTTATAGATACACTAGTGTATACACATATAATACACATACTATTATATTCATGGAATGTTAAAAACTGTATTCAGAGAATATCACATCATTGTTCACAGAATATTAATCATTCCATCTGTTAATTGTGTAGTATATTAATTAGACTATCTGTTTTTAAGGATAAATAATTAAACATGAAATAAGAATATCATTTTACAATATTAATAACTTAGTATTAAGTACAGAAGAAGATGCAATAGATAAATTATATTAAGAATCATAAACCTGAAATGTATTTAATATTAAAAACTTGTTACATAACATTAAAATCAGAAACTCTAAAACAAAGAAAAACTTACATATTTCCTAATCAGATCTTTTTGTGTACTGTTATCAAATGTGTATGATGCAAGATCAGATATTGTTTCAGTTCCCATTGTGCCAGAAATTGTAATTAAGAGGAAAATTGACCCAGCACCATCTTCAAGATCTTTCCAAACAGAATGTGTTCGTTCTTCATCAAAACCAGTTAAATCTATAGTACACCTAAAATCAATTTTTATTAAACATTTAATTTATAAAAAACAGATATAAAAAGTATTTAGTAGAAGTTATTTATAACAGCTTAAATATTTTTTCAAGTTTATTTATTTATTTTTTTGTTTTGTTATTGTTGTTAGGCAGTCAAAAACGTACAGAAAATATTTTTTAAGTTAATAAACATGTTTTCAAAATATATTATGCTTTCAAATAGAAAAAGAAAAATTAGAAGCAAAAATATCTTCATATTTTTTTGCTCCTGAAGAAGATCACTGTTGATTGTTGCAAAAGAAGATCCTGATTGCTATTGAAATCGATAGAGTTTTACACAAAACGTATTTCAGAATAATATTGATGTTTTGCCCAATTTTATATATTACACTCTGTTTACAATCTACTTCATTAAAATTTATATGTTCTGCATTCAGTGTACTTTAAATATCAACATACCTGCCCATGAAATCATCTTTTCCATGAAAATCTTTATCATACACAGAAATTTCAAGCACCTTTGGTTGATCAGAATACATGTGCAGATTGAACTGCTCTAACCACTGAGGATTTAAAGTTTTGAACATTACCTAGGAAAAAAAGAAAGAAAAACAGTGCATGCTCACTTTAAATAAAATCATACTAGTTTATAAACAGTATCAACTAAAAAACCCTTTTCTAAAAGTATATTCTTTTGATTCATTTTGCCAACATACTCAAAAACTATCTTAACTAACAGTCACTTCTAATGAAAATTAAGTAATGTTTTAGATTTTAAATAACACGATTAAAAGTGGTTGTTTTCATAATTTGTATTCCCTTACCATTTTATTGCATGTTGAAATATGAAAGCTATCATTACCGAATTATGAATGAATGAAATCTGGATCACCACACGGCAAATGCTACTATGTTATCTCACAGAGGCATGGTGAAGATCTGTTAATAAAAATTATGCCGAATTTCTGGGCTATGGTGTGCAAATATGTAATGGGTATGGTGAGTGATTTAAAAGGAATAGCCCTTTGAGGGCTACTCATGCTTTTGCCATGTAAAATTGGATAGAAATAAAAGCTTAATATATTATTAATGAAATAATCTTCATTTATGTATTCTTAATTATTTTTATTTTCATATTCAAAAATATAATTTTAGAGGTACCATCTAAAAAATAAATAACTAATTAAAAGCATACTACATTATTATCCAAAAGTAGGTATTTAGGTATTTTTCTGTTGATCATTTTGTATAAATAAAAAGTGTTGCCGAACAATGAGATTAATATGATTTGTCACCAGTAATAGATTAGCATGATGTTAAAACACACGCATAAGGTCTTTGTTTTGATTTTACGTAACCTCAATCAGCGAGCTTTTCTTCTTGTGAAGAAGGGTATAAATTAACACTTATTTCTAGCAGTCTCTTCTCTCTTTGTATATATATGTATTGATGTGTGCACTACATGACTTCGTTGAATGGAATATTAAAATATACCCATCTTTTCTTTCATTTAAACTTATTGGATTGAATTAAATCTACTTCGTCCATATTGCCTAAACCACAATAGAATAAATGCACTCTTTAAAACCCACTATATTTAAGACACAATAACACGCCGAACAAATACTAATTCAGAAGTCAAACAACAAAAATCAGTGTTATATTTTAAAATTTTCACAGGACTAGTTTCGATGGTTTTACCGAACCACCATCATCAACTGCAAAAGAGCAAATGAACGAGATAGGATATAATGATCAGATAAGAAAGCCTGGACAGAAAATAAGCTAGTGGCGCCATCTGTTCATGAAACCAGAACTAAAACATAATTTCTTTAAAGGCTGAATGCAAAGATAGATTGGAATTAGGATTGTTAACTAGAACAAAGATTTTTTTGAATGTGAAATGCCTCTAGAAAATCCAGTTCTCCAATAGAAGATGTTTTTTGAATAATTTTGGGAGCAGAAAAATATTAATAGCAAAAAGTCCTGAATCATCTTGACTTTTTACTTAAGTGTAAACATAAAAAATTGATCCCCAATTTCATTCAAATCGAATCTAATCAAAAACCTTCCAGTTGCGTTTCAAGAATTCTGCTAAACTGCGAGCTTGCCTTACTTTGGTCCATCATAAGGGATACATGTCAACAATTGTCCAAAATTGAACATGAGCTCTATAAGCTTCATCTGAAACTCGCTAATTCATATCCAAAATTCACTGCCCTTGAACAAAAGTTTTGGTCTAGAACGGAGAATGCAGTTAACTGTCATAAAAACACCCTTGCAGTTAAATTCAAAAAACTTCTTTTACAGTCTTCCAGTTCAAGTAGTTCTTCCCATTATAAACATTAAGCCACTAGTTCATATTTCTAATGTTAGTTTATCAGAAGAACAAGAGAGATTCTGAAATATAATTTTAACTTCTCACAAACCTGTAAACCCTCGATTCCAAAGATTTTGGCTCCTATCGAAAAAGCTTTCAAGTTCAGCAAAGTTTCAGATTCACAGAAAGAAATAATTAGGCATCTTATCGCTCATAATGTGAAATTCGATAATAAACCTTTGAAACCCAATGTAACTGCGAGAGAAAGAGCTACATTGCATGAAATTCAGTCTAACATGAATATTATCATTTCTAAGGCTGACAAAGGTAGCCAGATAGTCGTCATGGATAAGAACACTTACATCGATGGTGTCACTAAACTCTTAAACGAAGGACCATATAATCCGATCCCTAAAGATCCTTCACCTTTGGACCTCTCAAAAATAAAAACTGCAATCAAATCTTCCCAAATCATTTCAAGCAACTTAAAACAATCGCTTATCCCATCTGTTGCGAATTGTGCCAGATTATATGCTCTTTCCAAAATTCATAAAAGTGGTATTCCTTTCTGCCCTATTGTATCAAATTAGGTACTGCCTCGTATCCATTAACTAAATATTTAATTTCTAGATTTTCAACTCTATTAGACAATAACATTTACACCATAAAAAATTCAATAGAGTTTGTAAAAAAGGTTAAAAACATTTCGCCTAGAAATTTACGCCCACCAGCGGTCAAGCGGTAAAATCGCTGAATACTGGTAGTTCTGTCCGAAGTTCGAATCCCGCGAACGTGCTGGCTGCGTGGGCGTTTGTGGTTTTCCCCATGTGTAACGTGTATACGAGCCAGTTCACCTTAGAAAGTCCTCCACGAAGGCATCCCTCCCCTCAGGCAGATAGCCCTAGTGTGCTTTGCCGTATTCTCAATACACCATACAAAATACCTAGAAATTTACTCACAGTTTCTTTTGATGTAAAATCATTATTCACCAATGTTACAGTGGAGGGTGCATTAAGATGTCTAGAAACCAGACTTCGCGAATTTCATTTCTCTTGCATCGAAATTGATGAGCTAATTTCTCTCTGTTGAAACAAACACATTTTGTTTTCCAAAATAAATATTACAAACAAACTGAGGGTTAGCCATGGAAAGCCCCCTCAGTCCCATCCTGGCTGATATCTACATGCATTAAAATGAATCGAAATTGTTTGAAACTTTAAACTTCCCGGTATGGTTCCGCTACGTAGATGATACTTTTACCCTGTTAGAAGGTAATAAAGATGATTTAAATAAAGTTCTTTCAATAATGAATTCTATTGATCCTGCTATTCATTGACTTTTAATCTCAAGACTTGCCATTCTCTTCCATTTCTCCAAATTCTGGTCACACGTAACACATCCAACTTCAGTACTACGGTTTACCGTAAACCTTCATCGGTTTCCCTTCCACCACACTTTAAATCATGTCATCCAACTAAACAAAAGTTAGCTTCATTTTATTCCTATGTTTTCTGTGCTCTTCAAGTTTGCTCCTCCAAACTATCCCTTGATGAAGAACTAAATTATTTGAAAGCAATAGCTATTGACAGGGGCTTTTCACCCAACATTATTAATCAAGCAGTTAAAAAAGTCTCATCCCAACACACTAAAAGGCACACTTTTGTTTTAGGAGATTATAAAAATTCTGTTGTCATTCCCTTCTTTCCGTCAATTAGCTATAAAGTTGCACATATTTTGCAGAAATTTAACTTTTGGGTCATTTATTTTCCCATCAATAAAATTCCGAGTTCCATACACAAGAACCCCATTCCGGATATGAATTCCTGGGGTATTTATAGGATTCCTGGCCAGCGTGGTTTAATTTACATTGGACAAACTAAGAGAGCCTTAAAATTTCGCGTCAAGGAACATGAGGCATACGTTAGAAAAAAGGAAACACAGAAGTCTTCTGTTGCCTACCTAACATTGTTGGTCCGAAAATCACACTTTCAATTTTTCTGCTGCCAAAATTATTCAAAAAACATCTTCCATTGGAGAACTGGATTTTCTAGACATTCAAAAAAAATCTTTCTGTTCTAGATAACGATCCTAATTCCAATCCATCTTTGCCTTTAGCTTTTAAAGAAATTATGTTTTAGTTATGGTTTCATGAAAAAATGGCGCCACTAGCTTATTTTCTGTCGAGGCTTTCTTATTTTATCTGATCATTATGTCCTATCTTGTTTATTTGTGCTTTTGCAGCTGGCTATGGTGGTTCAGTAAAACCATCAAAACTAGTCCTGTGAAAATTTGAAAATCTAACACTGATTTTTGTTGTTTGATTTCTGAATTCACTATATTTGTTTACCGTAGCGACACTCTGGCCCGAGGTTCGTTTAACAGCATTGCATTTCGTTCATTTTTAAACTCAGAATGCACAAAATTTACATCATCTTCAGAATCATCTAATCATTGCCACATGTTCTATTCAAATACTAAAATAAATCTAAAACGATGTATAAAAGAAATTCAGCAAAGAACAACAACAAAGAAACAGTTTTTCACAGACGATTCAGTATTTCTCATTTAATTAATTCAGTCCTCACTTCTCTACAAGGCTAAAATACATAAAAACTCAAAATATCTATATTAAAAATTACGTAAATCTTAAACTCTTATTTCCTTGAATAAATTCGATGGAATGGATTAAGCATTATTTAATTCGAAATAATAAAAGAAGGCGTTATCTTTGTTGTTCCAAAGCTTGGTTGCTCTAGATTGGCAACAAATCACTATTCTGCCAAGTTTAAAATGTAAATTAACATGGTCGCCATGGCAAAAATAATTAGGCTTAGCCACACTTAAACAACTTTTAAATTGTTGATAATTCTACAAATATTGCATACAGATTTACTAAAAGCATAAAAACCTTAACCGGAAGATAAGGACAACATAATTAAATCATTTTTAAAGCAAAAAATGCACAATTTACAAACATATAAGAATAAAAAGCTAAGATTACTGAGCTGAGTAACAGAGTGGAGATATATATACATATATTTATATACTTTTTGGTGCGGCCGATTGCAACCAAAATATAACGAGCACATATACATGTTATAGCAGTGTCCTATATACAAAATTTCAACATTCTGAGGCTACTCGTTTTTCAGTTATGCGAGATACGTATGTACGCACAGATACCACGAAAAATTCTCTTCAGAACTCATTTTAAATTAGTTTTACAATTTTTTGGGGGAGAAAAAGTCCTTTATCCTGTCCTTATGTGCTGATGTCACACAAAAACACCGTTAAATTGCATTCGATAGTGATGAAAATGGATATTTGTGTTGAAATATGATGCCTGAAACTTTTCGCGATTACAATACTTTGTTTTTACTTCGTACAAGAAAGTAAAAAGGACTGAGCAAACAACACAATATTTTCAAAGTTATAGGACTGGTTATACTGCACACAAGGCATCAAAAGACTCATGGAACATAAAAAAAAAAAAAAAAAAGAAGAGGAACCTAAAAACACTGCACAGCCACGACAAATTAAGATTCCTATTCAAGTGAATTTATATGGTGCTTTCATTTTGTTGCAATTTTAAAGGGCATTAAAGATTTCTGGGCAGTGCAATGACTAGTGCATGTTTTAGTTGAATAACGTTACATCTTGAGCTCATATTTATTTAAGCTTTTACATGTTATATCCATAACTTTTATTTTTTTTATTATTAGACTACATAAAGAACAATCTGTTTTTCCAAATGTCAATGGAATGATTAGCGCAAGTTTGGCAGAATCTTTGCCAATTGTCATGGTCAATGGGAACCCACATATGTACTAAAAACTGCCTTATATTAATATTTTATATGAGCAGTATTCAAACAGCAAACCTATAATATACAGGGTATTTTTGGTATGTGGCTATAAGCTTCCCCCCCCCAACTAATCATAGGCAATCCTCCTAATCATAGTTTTTCTAAATAAACTAGAGAATTTTTAGCACTGAGATTAAAGCAGTTTTGAAAATATGGAACTTAACTTTCTACATAGTTTTTGCAGCCTAAAACGTCCTGTCAGAACAATGTCCGTTATGCTTTATATGCTTAATGCAAAGTGTTCTGCATTTTTATGTAAAAAATTAAGTGACATATTCGAAATAAATATTTTCTTAGGTTAATGAAGAATCAATTTTCTTAGGTTAATTTTGGTTTGCTTGAAGAATCTTTAATTGCTAAGCAGCTTTGTTTTATAGTTAGTTATCAAAAATTTAGGAAAATTTTGATTTCAGCCAAAAATATGCATTGAAAGGTGGTCAATACTACTAAATTTATTTTCCAATATATTATGTTCCTGAGCACAGTATCTAAGAACATCAAATGACTTAAATTTATTAAAGGACAGTAAATAATTTTCTAATTAGGTATATTTCGCTCTGTCAAGATTACACAAATTACTAAAATTTGTTTTTTTTTTTTGAAAATGTTCTCATTCAATTTGCTGCCTCATTTAGGGAAGCTTTCTAACTGGAAGTATATGCTTTAGTTTAAGGAAATAAAACATATAGCTCTTAAGCATCCCCTATACAAATTTTAAAGAAAGTTTTATGACAGTTTTGGATACCTAGAATTAACTCTTAGCTAAATTACTTGAAAATGGCAAAGCACATGACATATCTGCCTAAGAGAAGAATTTAGCATCTATCTCATGTCAATTCCAAGTTTGTCATATGCAAAGTTTTAAAAATTAGAAGCTCCATCAGTAGCCCAGTGGTAAAGACCACTGAATATTGGTAGTTTGACTCAGGTTGAATTGGCTGCATATTTGTTTTTCATGGTTTCTCCATGTGTAACATTAGGTGAATTTCCCTTACAATGGTCCTCTACAAAAGCATCCCCTCTTAGGCAGGTAGCTTTTGTCTACTTTGCTATATCCAAATAACCTAACCTAGGAATTAAGACGCATGGTAGAAAATTATTCTACATACCTTTGACTTATACCTTTCATTTCCTAAACTAAATTTAACATATGGATCACTAGTTCCATTTTCATCCATGGCTAATAGATTTTTCCCTTCAACAAGCACTATTGTAACCACAGAATCCCACATTTGAGTCTTCTGTCTCTTTACAGCAGGGCTTGCAGAAGGAGTATTGAATCCCAAGCGTAAAAGTGTGCCTTTATTGAAAAACTGGAATATTAAAAACAAATTATTATACATTAACATTCTATATATACTTTTAATTAAGATTATAACTCAATGTTTTATAAATTAGGATTAGACTTAACACGTTGACGCCGGCCTGACCCACCTGTGGGTTATAACTTGATTGTTCAGCGGGCCGGCATGACTCACCTATGGGTCAAGCTTGTATATAAAAAAATACTAAAATATGCTTTATACCAAAAAGTACAATTATTATATTATAAAATATAATATATTTTATATTATAATGACTTAATTTTATAATTTTATATTTTTTAATTTTAAAATTTTAATTTTATAATTTGGCGCTGCCCTGCCCGGGGAAACGGGCCACTAATTCAATTCATGAAAAGAACAATGAATATTCGTGCCGCTGTCAACGTGTTAATTCACAAAGCTATAAACTATTAGAGTACGTGGATAAAGTAAAGAACTGTATGGTTATAAGGAAGTCATTTTTGAATTGCAAGGATAATAATGATATTTCTGCTAAGTGATTCATATTAAAATGCATTAGTATATAAATATTTATTAAATTTATTCTTTCAATTATTCGAATAATTTTTGGGGGGTTCATAATAATGATACTTTCTGATCATAATTCATTTTCAATGTTAATTACAATTCTAATTACTACCGCAATTTCATTAGGAATTTCATAATAAAACACACTGCTGGCCAACGTAAATGCAAGCATCCTGAAGAAAGCATGCAAATAATATGAAATTTACAACATGCATTAGCGGAATGATTAGAATTTCAGTGCAGACGCACATCATGTGCGCCTGTCGCGCCAATTCAAAGCAGTATTTAAGGCTTGGAGTTTTCAATCATTTAAAGTTTGGCAATTGTGTTTTTCTTGTGGTTTTTGAAAAAAAAAAAAAAAAAAAAGATCAATTATGCCTTTATCATTTGATCAAGTATCTGAGTTCCAAAGAGGAAGGATAGTGGCCTACCAAGAATGTGGGTTATCTTTCAGGGAAATCAGTAGTTATGCTGGACGAAACCAAACAACTGTAATGCAGATATGTGACCTTTGGATGCAGGAGGGTATGACGGACTGATGTATTCGATCACATCCACCTCATTGCACCACTTCACGTGATGACAAGAACATTTTGCACATGGCAGTGACAGATCGCTCAGTCACATCACGAACCATAGCACAGCACATTCAATCTCTAACACATCATCCAGTGTCTGTGCGTACCATTCAACGCCATTTACAGCAGAGTGGTCTGCCCGCAAGATGTCCATTGCTTCGTCTACCCTTGACGCAGAACCGCAGACTTCTCTGCCGCCAGCGATCAGCATTTGATGCAATGAAAGAAGGATGCGGACGGCAGAATAGAATGAAATTGTCTTTAGTGACGAGTCACGCTTCTATCTGCAACGCCACAATGGTCGGATTCGAGTCTGGATGAGAGGATGCTAAACAGCTGCATTATGCACCGCCAACACTGGTTCTGCACCGGGTATTATGGTATGGGGCGGTATTGGATATCACTCTCACACTCCTCTAGTACGCAGTGCAGGTACTTTAAACAGCCAGCATTACATCTCTGAGGTGTTGGAGCCAGTTGTCCTTCCTTACCTTCAGGGCTTGCCCACAGCCATATTTCAACAAGATAATGCACGACCGCATGTGGCACGCATTGTCCAAGGGTCCTTCATCAATCTCCAGATTGAATTGCTTCCCTGGCCAGCTCGCTCTCCGGATCTTTCACCGATAAAAAACATATAGTCCATGGTTGCTGAACGATTGACCCAGATTACATCCCAAGCTGCCACACCAGATCAACTTTGGTAACGTGTGGAAGCTGCTTGGTCTGCTGTACCTCAAGAACACACCCAAAGTCTCTTTGAATCAATGCAGAGGCATGTGGCAGCGGTGATCTCCAACAATGGCGGCTACACTGGCTACTGATTCTGGAAGGAACCACACTTCACAGAAGTCTATAAATTTAATCATTTGATACTTGGTCAACATTTTATCTACTAAATAAATTTTGTTGTGATATCTCTGGTCTTTCTTGGTGTTGCAATTTGGGTGGCCAGCAGTGTATTTTTTATTTACCATTTCTCAGGAGTTAAATATCAATTTATTAAAGGAGAAGTGGAAGAATGGGTCATAACATCACACTAGACAAGAATGTAAGAATGCAACTGGTCAATAAGAAATAAATTCCTACACCACAAATAGGTTATGGAATAATTCTAAAGTTAAATAGTGTTAGAATAGATGAAGAACATTCTTTTCTCATATCACTTTTTTAAACTGCATTCATGAAATTAACTTCCAGTTAAGTAGATCAACGAACAAATGATATCTTTCCAGAGTACCAGCTGGTTGTTAGTTGACTGAAACTTATCCTAAGATGATAATTGACAGAAATTTATCGCTCATTTTTTGGCATTATACACTCATGGTTGTAAGCAAATATCTTTTCACATACATTAAATATAAATGAATAAAAAAACATTCTGCTGTTTGATATATAAATATACTTCACAAACATCTTTTAGTCTTCTAAAACAAATTTGATTTATGACTATACCTAAAATAATGTTTGCTTATGTATTTGTGTTGTTGTGTCTAGTGGTGTGGGTTCAGTGAAATGCATGACGTAACTCAAAACAGACTAGTTCATGGCACAAACATTTATTTCTAACTAATAAGACAGCAGCGATGCGCTATTTACGCAGTTACATTACATTCTACTCTACTCTCGTTCACAGAGGTTCTCGGGTATAAGAGTACTGATACTCTCGAAATCAGATGCTACATCCCTCCCCACTTATTTAGAGATTTAACTTCTGAGGAGCTTTGCGGATGCGCGAAGATCGTCTAAGTCCTGGCTGAGGTTGCTGCAACTCTTTATCAGGATCCACTGGAATGACTGGCTCAGTTTTCCTTGGAAACTGACGATGTTTCAAGTCCGGCTGAAGTTTGCACAGCTTCACTTCTTTGTTCAATGACCTTGTCCGGAGCCTGTGGCTTCACGTTTCCATCTGAAGTAGCAGCCATACGAGGTTCATAGATTATCGGTGCAGACGGAACCTCGCTCCCTACCGATCTGATCGACGTGCCTTGTGCAGTAACTGGTAAAGTTCCTTGAACGTCAATGGTATAATGCAGCACTCCATCCTTATTTGTCACTCTGCCAATTTTCCGTCGAGAATTTCCCGATCTATAATCCCGAATGGCAACCTTTTCTCCAATCTCAAAATTTCTGTCTTTGAAATCATAAGTATTCCTTCGGATGCGTTCTTCCACTCTTCGTTTAAGATTTGGAACAACTAAATCAATTCGAGTTCTAATTTCTCTTTTTAAGAATAACATTGCTGGACTTAACAAGGTTGTCATGTTCGGTGCCTTTCTATAATTCATGAGGAATATGGCAAGTTTTTGCTTAATATTTCCTGGATAACCTTGCATTGCACGTAATGCTTGTTTAACGGTGTAAACGTACCGCTCTGCTTGCCCGTTACTTGCCTGGTTTAAATGGAGCACACGTTTTGTGTTTAATTCCATTATTCCTTATAAAAGTTTCAAATTCCCCCGATGTGAACTGAGGACCATTGTCACTCACTACTACTAAAGGCAGTCCGTATCTTGCAAAACAGTCTCTCAAACATTCAATTGTCTGAAAGGAATTTGCTGACTTTAAGGTATACACTTCTAGCCATTTAGAATGTGCGTCAATGATAATCAAGAACATTCGTTCAAAAATAGGGCCTGCAAAATCTACGTGAATGCGTTCCCAAGGCGCACTTGGATATTCCCAGTGATGGACCCTTGCCCTTACTGGATCTGATTTGAACTTAATACAATCGACACAGTTCCTAGAAACTTCTTCAATATCATGATCAATTCCCTTCCAAAAGACGTAGGATCTGGCGATTGCCTTCATTTTAACGATTCCTAAATGTCCTTGGTGTAACTCTTCGAGAATTTTAACTCGGAGTTTTTTCGGAACAACTACCCTCTGACCACTCATTATACAGTCATCTTGTAAGGTGTACTCGGCTTCCCTACCTTCCAAACTTTCTCCAGATTTTAATTTCATATAAAGACTATTTAATTCTTCATCAGCTCGCGTTTCCCGAGCTATCTCCCTAGCTGTTACCGGAAGAGTTTCAATTTGGGAGAGTTGGAATATTTCAACATCATCCTTAATGCTTAAATCTTCGGACTTAAGAGGTAGGCGCGACAGGCAGTCAGCATTACCGTGTTCCTTGGTATTTCGATACACAATATCAAACTGATATGCTTGCAATATCAGTGCATAATGTAAGAGTCGGGTGGCTGTGAGGATAGGAAGTCCTCTTTTCGATTTGAAAATAGCCACTAAAGGTTTATGATCTGTCACCAGAGAAAAGCGTCTCCCCTTTAGATATAGATAAAACTTTTTGACAGCCCAAACAATTGACAGTGCTTCTTTATCGATTTGGGCGTATTTCTGCTCTGTGTTAGTCAGTGTCCTCGATGCGAATGCTATAGGCCTTTCTGTTCCATCAGACAAAACATGCGAGAGCACTGCCCCAAGACCTACCGGAGATGCATCAGTAGCTAGCATTAACGGTAATGTGGGATCGTAATGCATTAAAACTCTGTCTGAACAAATTTCCTTTTTTATTTTTTCAAAAGCGATTTGGCAGTTTTTTGACCAACTCCATTTAACATCTTTTTTTGTTAAATTATTTAAGGGATGTGCCAAAGTTGCCAGATTAGGGCAAAATTTGGCATAAAAATTCACTAATCCCAAAAAGCTTTTGATGTCTTGGACGCCTTTCGGCGTAGGGGCATTAGCAATTGCCGAAATCTTTTCATCCGTTTTATGCAATCCATCGGCATCAATTTTATGCCCTAAAAATTTAATCTCATTTTGAAAAAATTTACTTTTAGTTAAGTTTAATTTTAGGCCGTGCTCCTTGCATTTTTTGAAAAATATTTCCAATGCTTTTAAATGAGACTGATCATCCGGTCCTGTCACTCGAGCATCATCCATAAAAATTTTAATTCCTTCGATCCCCTGAAATAATCCCTCAACATAGCGCTGCCAAATAGCTGGGGCAGCATTTAATCCATACATTAAGCGTTTACAAATATACAACCCCTTATGCGTGTTTATTGTTAATAACCGTTGGCTCTCCGGATGCACCTTCATTTGTAGATAAGCATGACTGAAATCAAGTTTCGAAAAATTTTTACCTCCATTAAGGCATGAAAATATTTCTTCGAGTTTTGGTAATGGATGCTGTGGCACTTCCAAATTAGGATTCAGAGTCACAGAATAATCAGCACAAAGCCTAATGGAACCATCAGATTTAACAATTGGCACAACTGGTGTTGCCCATTCTGAAGTCTCAACCCTCTCAATGATACCTTCTTTCTCAAGCCGATCAATTTCTGATTCAACTCTATTTTTTAATGCGAAAGGTACCGGTCGTGACCTACAAAATATTGGTTGAGTATTAGGTTTCAAATTTAGTTTTACTTCGTGATTGTTAATTTCACCTAATTTACCGTCAAAAATTTCCTTGTACTCCTCAAGCAATTTTTTTTAAATTCAATTCACTAGAAGTTTTCAATGCTTTGATGGCATTCCAATCGAGATTGATTTTATACAGCCATTCTCGGCCGAAGATTGTGTCCAAATTTTCCTTCACAATGTATAGATTTAAAACTAATTTTTGACCTTGGTATTCAACTTTAACAGGAACATATCCTAAAGGTACCACCTTATCACCCCTGTAAGTTTTAAAAACTAAATTTGTAGGCTGAATCTTTTTATTGGAAATTTTTCTAAATTTATTTATAGACATTACCGAAACTGTTCCCCCAGTATCAAGTTCCATGCTAACTGGTTTGTTTTCAATTTTAACTTGAACCATTATTGGCGGTCTTTTTGGCTCTTCCTCTCTTAACATGTGCGTTCTGGAGTTAAATCCATAGATGGGGACCTCATTTTTCGAATCATAATCATCATTTGCTTCAACTTTCTTTTGCTTAACCTGTCGGTTTTTCCTAGACATTCAAACACGCCCTTTCGATATGTCTAATTTTTTACAAAAGCGGCATACTTGTTGCAAATCTACAGTTGTTTTTATTGTGATTTGCTCCTAAGCAACGCGAACAAGTTTCATTTTTACCTTTATTATTCTTAGCAACAAAGTTTTGTTTCCGCGGTTTGGACTCATTTTTCTTGGTTTTAAGTACCTTCAGTTCTACGGAATTTCCTATAATCTCATTTGCACCCTTAACCGCCTTTTCCATCGCCAAGGCTATCTTTAATGTTTTCTCTAAATCGATATCATCTTCCTGAAATAATCGATCTAAGATATTACGATCTCGTAGACCGCTAACGAAAACATCCCTTAACATTGTATTTAGCATATCCTCTTTATATTCACAAGGAATCGCTAACGAGCGTACTTCAGTGACATAACTACTAATTGATTCCCCTCATGCTGTTTTCTATTAATAAACATGTGTGCCGACTAGGTATTATTAAAGCTTTAGGATTTAAATGATCCTTAAGAACCTTTTTTAGTTCGGTAAAATTTTTATCTGAAGGATTATCCTGGAGAGAGTAAATTTTTCAACAAATTATACAATTTTCGCATTCAAGCTTGAGATCAGAACTTTCCCACGTTTTGCCTCTGGAACATTTTGAATGTCCAAAAAAGCCTCAAATCGTTCTATGAACGAATCAAAATTTTCTACCGTTTCATCGAACTTATCAAAAAGAAACAGAAATTTTGTCTTGTTTATGTTCCGATTTCTCTTGCAATGCGACCATTAAAGCTTCATTCTGCTTATTATAATTCTTCAATTAACTTCTCCATCCTTTCAAAATAAAAATCAAATAACTTTCCTACCTTTTGCAGTTTTCGGGGAATCCCCTAAATCCAAGTTTCGGTTTTGCCACTACTTTACGCATGTAACTGAGTGCGCCGAGTCGGGAACGATTTGCTTCTCACACAGCCTCATCGCCAACTTGTGTCTAGCGGTGTGGGTTCAGTGAAATGCATGATGCAACTCAAAACAGACTAGTTTGCAGCACAAACATTTATTTCTAACTAATAAGACAGCAGCAATGCACTATTTACGCAGTTACATTACATTCTACTCTACTCTCGTTCACAGAGGTTCTCGGGTATAAGAGTACTGATACTCTCGAAATCAGATGCTACATGTGTTATTATTGCAAAATTCAAAATTTTTAATCAACATTTAAAGTATATTAAAAACATATTAATATTATTAAAAGCAAAAGTTAATAATAATACATGCATAATTAAATTCATAATGTAGCATTAATTTTTTATCACCTTTTTTCAAAAAAATTTTATTTACATAGGATATTCAGGTAAACATATCCAACTGCAAATTCTTAAATTTATGCAGCAGTTTTAAAAATAAACTTTAAAAATTTTAAGGAAATTTTTAAAATAAATTTAAAAACAGGAAAAATTTACATTCCAAGAAAAACATTAAAGTACATGCAATTTATGGTACTTCCTTAAAATGGTAGACCGAGATTTTGAATTGTTAATCAACCGAGATAACTCGACACATGTTCCTATATTAGCATCGTGTTACAGTTTTGCTTTTGCCTTGTGTTCATATATGAGCATTGTGTTTAATTTTTACTAAAGTTTTCGAATTCGCATTGGTTACTTAAGAATATTCTTTCCCTTTTTGTAAATATGCAAAGATTAGCAGTCCCAGTAAAATACTTGAAATCTGTGACAGTTTGTCTGACACAAGAATTGCAGCAACAGAGTACTTCTATAACAATGGAGTTTTAGAGGAATATGCAGTGTTGTTCAAATCTCAAATAAAGATACCAGTATACTTATGGAGAAAATTATTCAACATGTATAAGACAAATTAACAATCTATTCAGACTGCTAAAAGAGATAAAATGAAGAAACATAAGGAAGATGATTAGTCATTTTACAGTGAACTATAATTTCATAGACACAACAACAGGTGTTCACACCCAAAATGTGGAGCTTAGCCGAGTAGCATAATAAAAAACAATGGGGCAGGGCTCGGCATCACCTCATCATATCATTCAAAATTCATGCAGAGAAAGTAAATACAAAAAAATGATGTTTTTATGAATTGTTAATTTCGAAATAGGGGCTTGTCATAACAATCATTAAAAATATTCTTAGGAAACAACACATAAGCATTATTGTTATTACTATATATTGTATAATTTATTTTACATTTACATTTCATGAACTTGGTGAAATCATAGATGCTGCCTTAGCATAATCCTAAGGTTGCCAAATAAGGTCGGGGCTACTATAATAAGGAAGTACTCAATTTATTTTATGCCTAGTATTGTTATACTAAGGTTATAATATTTGATAAATAAAATTTAATTTAATCATTATTAAAATTTATTAGACATATGATTTAATTTAACATTTTAAGTGTCTGTATCAGCTTGTACAGTAAGGAAAAAGTAAGAAAAAATTATCTCACTTAAAGGGTTGGGAAAGCCCATTTTTGCTGAATTTAAAAATTTTAGAACTTGATAAATTTAAAGTACACAATAAAATATAATTTTATAAACTGTAATAAATGCTTTGAATCACTTTAAAGCTGGAAAAATGACTGAAAATATTGCAATTAAAGAAAATTTTGTACTTAATGATTATCTCAACCACTGCTTCATTACAAAATATCCTAGTAATAAGTAGGCACAAACTGTTTTGGAGATGAAGGTGTAGTGTCTGGTGCCATTTGGTGAATTTTAAGCGTCTGTATCAACTTGCACTGTGCTTTATTATTATTATTTTTTTTTAATCTTTCACTTGATATTTTTCTTCTTTTTTTTTAAATCACTTTCAGTCTACATTACAACATATCACCACTGAGTATGCTAGCATGCTATAATCCCCACTTTAAAAGCTTAAATTTCAGCACACACATTTTCACATTAAAAAGAAATTTTCACATTACTATCTCATGTAATAAAGGGTATATTAACTGTAAAAAATTTATTTTACATTTTATAACAGCATCAGTAATTTAATCCTTGTTGATGACACAAATTCTTACCCAGGACAGCTACTATGCTCCAAATTAAACTTCATGGAGTGACAACATTTTCCCAATATTCAACCCAACTTCTTAACACTTGTCAGGAACAATCTCACCCTTTGTGTTTTTATGGGAAAACTCCTTTTGACTTCTTTACAAAGAATTACTAAAAAATAATGTAATAAATTTCCAAGTAACCATGCTGTCTCAAATATGAAATAATTTGAGACAGCATATGAAGTGTGAATTATTTCATATTTGTACTCTGATTGGTTTGACTTGTTAAACAATTATGCAGTACCTTCAATGTTGTATAATTTTTGCCTCAGTTATCACAAAAATATGCAAATCTTATGTGATTCTTAACATTGTTATTAATGACATTAATCAGCTAGAATAAATTTTAGTCTCTGTTGGCTGCTACAGCCATATAATTATGTTTCAATATTTTTTCCCCCCTCTCTATAGATGCAATGAGATGTGATCCTCTTTCAGCAATCAAGTTTTCTTTGCAGGATTGTGGCAAATGCCTATTATTGTTTCTCTCCACAAAATTAAGTTCGTTGTTTTATTCAACACCTTTCAATCTATCAAACAAATTATTCAGGGTGTAAAACAAAATAGATTTTGATTGCTTTCCTCACTCCTTCAGTTCACATATATAAGATAATATTTCAAACAGACACTGAACAACACATTTTAAACCAACCTGTTCTTTTTCTTCTTGAGTTTTTGGGATGAGTGTAAGAGTAAGGAATATTTGACCCCATGATGGACTTGTTACATCTGGCTTGAAAGATTCTGTAAGGGTAACAACTAAATCTGTAGGCCTAGAAAATAATTCGATACTCATTTAATAAAACATTTAATGTTGCATAAACTTGATTTTTATTAAAAATAAACACATGAACTGCTTTTATATTTGGCTAATCAACTAAAAATTAATATTAGCTATTTAACTATTTGGCTTCTCTTCAAGAGTATCTTACATATATAATCTGAATCAACATTTACAGGGAATTTTAAAAGTAAATGCAAATGACTGACATTCATGAATACTATGATATAGCTAACTACAATTTAATAAGAATAGTATTTTCATATGGAACAGTTTACTTTGCAAATTAAAGGCAAGTTCAGATAAAAAAAAGACAATTCATTATACATGTTCACAGAGACCTTTCCAATAAGAGTTTCACTATATTATTTTGAATGACAAAATGAAAAACTTACTTGAACTTTTAACAAGCAATGAGTCACTTATCTTCAAGAAAGCAGAAATGAAAGCTGCAATATCTGACCATCCAGTGCTCTTTCTTACGTCACATGTAAGCTACGAAAAATTTTGAAAAATTTTACATTTAGTAAATTTGAATATTTTTTTAATAAGCATATAAGATGGACTAGCAGAACACAATCACTAGCTGGCCAGACATTACAACAATAGTTTTCTTCTTTCGAAAGATTTAGACATATGATTTAATAAATAACAGTTATGAACTCACTTTACACCAGGAAGCACAATCAAGTAGTATTTCTTCAATAAAGGGTAAAATGCAGACCAGTAGTTATTAATTAAAACTGAAGTTACTTTGCTGAAACTTTTTTTTTTTCAACTAAGAAATGATTAAATGAATTTTTAATACAATCTCCTCAAATTCATATGCATTTCAAAATTTTCCATTATTTTGAATATGCAGAGAGATAACAGGACACTAATTATACATATTTAACAGAAATTACACAGTCCATTTAAAGTCTAAAAATTATATTTTACTATACATAGACAGATGGATTTTTTAAAATGTTTGGATGAAATATTACGATCAAGTATTCATAAAATTTAGGAAAATTAGATATACCGACTGTTGAAAGAACATAATCCTTCTGCTTCAAACTGAAAGCATGTTGCAATTACAATCACGCAGCCTACTATTTTATAATCTTATTTAAAACCTCTGGAAAGGTTTCTGTGAACAGTAATCATACATAGTTAAGAAAATTTATAAGCAATATGGATATTAAGAAATAAATTATGAATAAGCAAAATATAGGTAAAACACAGAAAAATATGAAATATGTATTTTTTCAAAGTATAGTAAATAACAAATATTGAAGGTGGGAGAAGGGAAAGTACATAACTTTGGGGAATTCAGATTACTTTTAAGTTTGTCATATTATACAAAATAAATTATGTGGATTAAGGATCTATTTGAAAGTGGATTGGACTGTGATAAAAATGCAAGAAAACTTTCCTATTTCTGCATAAAGATAAAAACTGGCAATCTCTGTAGCTAAAAAATTCTAAGTCTTATTTCCTTGACTTTCAATTCATTCACTCACTATCACAGAGATTCAGTTCGTCATTCTGAATGAAAACACAATGCTTTTCCACCACAGTAAGATATAGCATTTTCTCCCAAATTTAATGTTTCATTAAGTCATTTACCCTATTATTAGTAATTTAACAATCTGGGTAATTTCATAATTCAGTTGTGTTGTACAGTTTGTTTTAAAGCCATTAATTTACTGCAGCTAAAGTAATTTATTCCAAGAAAATTCTGAGTGCATTTTCATTCACAGCTTTTATTATCTTCAAGTCAGATTTTACTCACAATTTTTCATGATTTCCTTCTCAAATTAAAAACTAAGATTTAGTTCCAAAATTATGCTCTTCAGTTAGTACAACTTAAATTAATTATACCCTTTTTCCCTTGCTGATATAGTTTTATATACGTGTTCATATTAGGTATTTTATTAATGCAAGCATTAATAATATCTTGTGATTTTAACGTTGACAATATAAAAATACTTCCCTCCCCTTTTTTCTTTGGTTATTTAAAATGCCGAGAAATTTTTACATTCAAAATATATGATATGATGATTCATTATCTCTAAAACTGTCCTGAATTGAATGACACAGCTATTGTCATAATTTTTCTGTTTAATTTGTACTGACAAATTTAATATTTTACAAATAATGGTTTTGAATGAGAAAAGTAACCAATTTGCCAATGAAATTAAACCCATCTACAATATTTTATACAGGAAAACAAAAAAATTACAGGAAAATCTTGATACCTGCATATACTTTACATTGTTTTATAACTTTTAATTACATGCCCATTTACGATTATAAATAAAAACATTTATATTAATTAGATTCTAATTTATGATTTTTGAAGTACACTTTGCAAATCTTAATGTATAAAAATGTTACCTTTAAATGTTTATGAATTGCCTATTGAATAGGCAAGACATACTCAGTATCATTGTATGCATAAATGCATGCATTGCATCAATAAAGTTATATACAATATATCTCCTGCCCTTGATATTGTGGTAAATTTAATGGCAATGAAGAATTTATAAATACAACTTTATCCAGATCAGAGAAATCTTCATAGCTTAGTAATCTTTAAAAAATTAGAGAATGGCATGAGCTGTAGTAATACAACAAGGACAATGCGCAGGATATGTTAATGCACACAAGAGAACTCTTTAATTTTTTAAAAAATCTTCTGTTTATTCTGCCCATTATAAAATTAGGCAACATAAGCATTTCAGGCAATTATAACAGTACTAGAATGTTGTTGCCAGTGAAGTAAGTGAGTTTTTTATGGTACGGATAATGAAAATAATTACTGTCATGATAGAGTCATATTATTATGTGGACATATATAAAGTCTACCAAAAAGTTCTGTCTGATAATGTTATTTGAAGTTTCATCACACATGTACATGTTCATTTGAGACATATATGACTGCCTCACTTTTATCACTGCATTTATGCACATGTGCTCTTCCAGATTAACTGAAACAAAAGTATCTCATATCATTACTAAGTAAGGTGTGAATGTGTAAATGTGGCTAGTTCATTTACAACACTATGTTGCATAAAAATTTTATCAAGAAAGAAATGTTACAGAAGCATGTTAAAATTTAGTGAAAGTTTTTTGTGGAAATGCAGTTTTGGTCACAACATCCAGGAGATGGTTCAAAAACTTTGAATCAGGTGATATTGACCTTAATGATAAGCCAAGTTTTGGGTAGCCATCTTTAATCAATGATGATATAGTCAAAACTACGATAGAGAGCAAGATCCTTTTTCATAACATCAGAGATTAAGGAAAAATTTAACTCAGCTCTACAAACTAATTTAGACGATGTAATAAATTAGGATATGTTTATAAATATTCCAAATGGGTGTCTGATGAGTTAATTAAGAAAAATTTTCATGACTGATGATTGAGTCCTCATATGCACATCTTTGCTTGTTTAGACAGAAACAAATTCTTCTTGTACCAGATGATAACTAGTAATGAAAAGTGAATTACCTAAGAAAATACCATTTAGAAAAGAACATACTGCAAGCTAAGATAACCTGCTACCTCCACCTCTAAACATATATATTCCAAATGTGTAAAATTTATGTACACTGATGGAAAATAAAATCCCAACACCAAGAAGTTGTGCTAGATAAATGAAATTTAGGAGGCATGTTTACACATTTGAAAGATGATGTCTATTGACAAATAACTTTGAAGCTAGTAGTGCCACTATGAACATGCAAATCAGGCAATGTTTTAAATATATGATGCAACCTTTGTGTGCTTTATCTATCTTTTATACTGGGCAATGCAAGTGAGATTCGAGTCCAGAACGCCTTCAAAGAGATGAAGAAGGCAGTATCAGCAGATTGCTGAGTTTGAATCATATAATAAGGTAGTGAAAAAGTATTTTCTTTTTGTATGAAAAAAGTATTTTTTTTGTATGTTTGAAAGTATTTTCTGATGGGAAGGTCTCAAGAAGGCTGGAGGCAGCTGCAAACAAGCCACCACACAAAGCAAAGACCATAGTATTTGCCACATATCTGTGATACATTGCACTGCATATGCAGCAGATATTCAAGTTTTGTCGGCTCAAGAATGATACAGTGAACTGTAACAAACCAATTACTTGAGGGACAGTACCAAGCCAGATGCACTGTAGCTGACCTATTGCTTCAATATCACCACCATCTGCGACATGGTGGCATCAAGCTACAGTTTATAGAAAGGCAGAGTGGAGATCTGTTGTGTTGGCAGATAAAAGCCACTTCCATGAGAAGGCCAGATGAGCACTTGCAACCAAGCTGCTATAGCAACACAACAATTAAACAGATTAATCCTCAGAGGCTTAAAACTAAATCTATAACATGGCTATTGAGTAACGAGTAATACTGTCCTTTCTTATAAATGCCTGGGAAAGAGATGTATAACTCAGCAACAACCAGCTCATACCAAGAAAGATCGAGATAATAGCCTTGAAGTCATTAACTGCTCTTTTGGTCTTGGAGGAATAAAACTCAGTTTCTAACCAACAGATCTCAGTTTGCTCCCCGAGTTTAATGACACAGCAGCAAGGTTACAGACACAGCTACCACGATCCTCAGCATGAGACAAACAGCAAACTAATGACCAAAATCAAATCTTAAAACATATTTATGGCAATTCTAATAACATTTCTTTTGTAGTTAATTGGCTATTATGTTCCCTTGCATATTTATCATTTTGGGATTACAAATGAATACCTAATCTTCCCATCGCTATTATGGAAGTCATTTGTTAGCATTTAATTAGTTCCTTTATTAAAAACACATTCCGTCAAACATTAATTGTTAAATACTTGCTTTATTCAGAAACATTACCGTCAACATTACTGCTCAAAAACTTACAGTTCAAAAAAATTATCGTTCTAAAAAAACTGTTGTTGCCAGTCGGGAAAATACATTTTAAATAAAATTAATACGTTGCGTTTACATTTGAGCATCCTGACTTAGTTACGACCTCGGAACATTAAGAACTTATATTTAAAAAAATTAAATCTGTAATATTAATGTTTATAGTTCGAAAGTCTTTAGCTGTCATATAGATTCACCGTTATTTTTCTTTTTCCGTGTCCTAGTTTTTAGTAATATGAGGCGTGTTGTTATCGTTATCCCTAGCAGCACCTTATGTCATCACCATCATCATCGTCCTTCTTCTGATTCAGTTTGACACTGCCATGACTTTAATTGGCTCACATGAGCTGTCGTACTAAAGAAACGTCCTTTCACCTTCTCTTCTAATTGAGTCACTCTATAGGGTATCACTTGGTAAAACTTCTGCAACTACCAAAGGTCCTCGATATTTTTGTTGTGTTTTGGTTGATTCTGCAGTTGATTTAGGTACTCTTCTCATAACTACTATTTCTCCTCGTTCGAATGTTAAAGAATTGCTTTTCTTTTTGTCGTAGTTTGCTTTCATTTTCATCTGCATATCTTAAATTCTTTTCTTTAACTCCTTCCTTTTTAGATACTCTCTTTTACCAGTAATTACCGCCTTTCTTAGAGATTTGTCTATTCCCTCATTTATCTTACGATTGCTTTGCAGATGGATTTACATTCTTCCCGAGGTTTATTTCCTTTTGCAGGATGGGGATCTTTCTTTCTTTCTTTCTCCGTTTGTCTTTTGTTTTGTTTCTCAAAAAACTTATTTCCCTTTAATTTTGTTTCTTCACCAGTAAAATTATCTATTACAGTTTCTTTTTGTAAACTTTTTTCTTTCCCTGTATTAAACTCTTTCTCAAGTGCTGTAATTTTACACTTATTACTATATTTCTTAAGCTTTTAATTATAATGCTTTTCTTGAATAACTTACATTCTTTAATATCATTGATGCCATCACTTCTAGCTTCTTCTTCAGGATACTTATTTTCTTCACTTGTATTCTGTTTAACGATTTTCTTTGAAGTCCCTTTCCTTTTCAGTGATTTTCTACTTTTGGAATTAGTGACTTTTACAGTATTTGTATTTTCAAACTTTCCATCATTGTCCAGAGTTTCTACCTTATCATTGTAGTTAGTAACTGGTATCACTGTTTCTCCCTGTATTACTTCCAATAATGAGCCCAAGTCATCTTCCGATCCACTTATTAAAACATAACCATTATTTATTTCATCAGTTTTAACTTTCACGAAATTAACCGTATTACTTTCGATTTGAGTTTCTTGGGAAGCCTTCAGTTTAATTCGCGGAGTGTTGCTATCATTTTGCAACTGTGAAAATGGGCAGTCATTAGCATAGCGTATGTGCAAGGTATTACCTATCTTGGCGTATGCAATATGCGGTAAATCAATCCATGTTCGACCAACTAATAAGTCGTATGGCTGCGTTTCATCTCCTACAATTAGAACTGTAATGTCCTTTCCTTCACATTATCAATCTCTAAGTTAACAGTTACTTTTCCCAATGTTCTAGCTGCTGGTTTATTCTGGTTCCCAAAGCTAAACAATTCCTCCACATCAGGTTTTATAATAAGATTCAGTCTCTTAGCCGCAGACTGTTTCAATAAACACGAACTAGAACCCGTATCTATGATTGCAGTAATTTCTTCTCCATTATTGATGCGAGCATACTTTAAATATACAGCTGGTGAAACACCTGAATTCTGGTCCACGGATATTTTTAACATTTTCAAGTCTGGATTCTTAGACGTACACTTTTTAAAAGTATGACCCTTTTCATTACATTTCCTGCAAATAATTTCTTTTTTAGGCTGAGGACAATCCGTCGCTATATGTCCATAATCATTACAATTAAAGCATTTCGGCTCACCCTTTTCATTGCGGATGCCAGGATTATATTCCCTTTTCCTTTCGTCTGTTTTATAAAACTTATCTCTCAGATTGTATTTATTATCAAAACTGTTTTTAAAACCCACTTTGAAATTACCATCTGTCTGCATGGAATCGTTAACATTTCTTTGTCTTGAATACTGATTATAGGATCCTTCGTAAAATTTAGAACCAGATTTGGGCTTAGAATTATGCCTAAAAGTTTTATTTTCTACTTGAAGTACTTTTATCCCTGCCCGAATATTTTCATATTCATCTAGTTTTTTCAGCCAACTCTTCAGCCAAGGATTAATGAATTTAGACCAATCATCAATGAAATGGTCTCGGATAGCAGCGGGGACCTTCTTTAATTAATCAGTAATAATAAGTTGTTTTAAAGAGTCAAAATCTGTTACATTTAATCCAGCAAGCCACTCTTCAAAATAATTTTTTAATTCAAACGTGAAAGTCTCTTCCACGTATTACGCAACGTTTTAATATGATCAACAAACTTTTGCCGAAACTGTTCATGGCTTAACTTAAATTTTCTCAGTAGCAGTTGTTTAACGTGCTTATAGTCGTTAGCTTTCTCTTCTGATTCACAGGCAATTAATTGAGTTATTTCATAAGGCAATAGACCCAACAACTGAGAAACCCAGTTTTGTTCTTCTAACCCAATATGTCGTGCCTGTCTCTCAAATAAAACTAAATAAAAACTTATATCACCTTCATTCAAACCATACTTATGCATTAATTTACTCATATCACAAATATTACTTCTACTAACATTAGAAGGAACAGAATCATTTACATTACTACTTCTGATTTCCGCTTCTATTTTCAATTTTTCAAGTTCAAATGTTCTTTGCTTATCTTTTTCTTCCATTTCAAATGCTCTTTGCTTATCTTTTTCTTTTTCTAAAATTTCTAACTTTTCCCTGTCTAAACGATCATTTATAATTCTATCTAGCATTTGTTTAGTAAAGTCTTCGTTATAATTCTTACTATTCAAAATCATATCTCTTAAGCCTACAATTTTAATATCAGAAGGGACATCTACATCAAGTTCCAAAGCAAGTTCTTTTAAATCACATTTTTTGCCTCTTGCCAAATAAGCCATCTTAGATTTCAAATTTCAAATAATAATACAATAATTATACTTAAGTTCTTTCCGTTTAATACTTAGACATAACATAAACAGTTTATAAATTCACGTACCTTTCTACTTTCAGTTTTGGCGAGTTTCCACATTCAGTTTAGGCTTAGCGTACGTTAAGGCAATACGTTGTTAAATCTAGATAATAATTCTAGTTTATCCCACTTCTGAAATGTTAGCATTTAATTAGTTCCTTTATTAAAAACACATTCCGTCAAACATTAATTGTTAAATAATTGCTTTATTCAGAAACATTACCGTCAACATTACTGCTCAAAAACTTACAGTTAAAAAAATATTATCGTTCTAAAAAAAACTGTTGTTGCCAGTCGGGAAAACACATTTTAAATAAAATTAATACGTTGCGTTTACACATTTCCGACTTTAAAGTTTTGCAAATTGTTTATTCTTTAATATATTTCATATTCAATGACAACATTATTACAATAGATAATAAAATCAACAGATATGATAAATCCATAAATATACTATACTAGTGTTAATCTGATTACAAAAAAGGAATTTAAGAATTAAATTGTAATTATTAAATTTAAATTAAAATTTCCAATTAAAATTAAAGAATTAAAATTTCTTCTAGAAACAAACTTACCTATTCAGTTCTAACTGAGTTAAATCAATTTGTGCAGTACCCATGTAATCATCTTGGAATGCAAAATCATAATCATATACCCGAAGATGCAAAGGTTCAAATACATCTTCTATAGGAATTGTAAAGAATTCATCCCAATATGGTTCCAATGTCCTATTGACAGTGCGACTTTTATACAACTGTTTTCCACTAATTTTGAACTTAACATATGGGTCACTAGTACCTAAAAATTTTGTTAAAAATAAAGCATAAAAACAATACTAAAGTAAGTTAATAAGTACAAAAGTCTTGATTTTATTAAGAAACAAAACAAAATAATTATTTTACTCTATAAATGCAACAAAGAATAAAGAAGAGAATTTGAAACAATACAATTTACTGATTAACTTCCAGCAAGATGCTTCTCACGTCATTGACAAAACAGATTAACTCCAAATAACTTTCACATTTATTCCTTTTCCAGGTAAAACCCTAAAATATCTAGATTTATATTTAATATTTGTATTAAGTTCCCCCCTTTCTTTTGAAGAAATTTTTTCTTCCTCCCCAAGTTCAAACTTTAAAAAGGACAGTTTCCAGTCTGATAAACAGCAGTTTTATCTAATTTCTTTGATCTTTACATCATTAAAATATCTTCCTATTGTTTTAAACTTAAGCAATATATTTTAAATTTATAATTTACATAAATTCAATTTCATTAAATTATTTAAGTTGCCATATTAAAAAAATCAAACATATATACTGGAATCTAAACATTTCATACCTTATTTAGTCACTCTGATTATTCTCAGCCTTCCCCCCCCCCACCAAAACCCCATAAAAAGTACGGGTGAGGCAATACACCATGTCTCCAAAAGGTATTTCTGTTGCAACACACAGTAGTCATTTACCAACTCCATGGCATTAATTGAAGCCCCCTCAGTTCTCCCCGATAACTAACAATGGCCAACTTTTACATCCCCCACCTTAAAATATGAAGGATGACAGATGAAGAAACTATGAACTGTGCGACGCCTTCTTTTCCCTATTTGTACGAACCCTAAGAGGATGGTTGCTAGAAAAAGGCACTTATCCAGGGCATATTTGATTGAGACTACAAATCTCCATTTTCTTTTTTTCAGATATTGTGATAATTGTGCATACAGAGCAAATATTAAATGAAAATCTAGTAAGAGCTAAAGTAAAAATTACTTTCTTTTATACTCATATTATATTTTTTATAATACTTAAAAGAATAATGAGCCAGAACTTGTTTATTCTCCACAGGAATTCAAAAATTTCCAAGTCATAACTTAACTGATACATGTTAGTTGTGACAATTATCATATAAGGTGAAATAGGTACTTAAGTAGATAAGATCTTGGGCAGATGCTGCAGATATAGTTCATGTACTAAAATATTATCTCCAAATTTTTGAAATCCAAAGTGGGCAATTAATGTCAAAAACTAAATAGGAGAGAGTTACACTAAGTTATCCTGCTTCTTAAAATTACCATCCATATTTACTGATGTAATTTTAAGAAGTGCAATAACTGAGTTTAATTTGAATTTTCTCCTATTTAGTTTTAACATTACTTGTCCACTTTTAATTTCTCTATGGAGGTAATATTTAAATTTTCACATATTTAAACCAGATAAATTAATGACCCACATAAGAGTGATATATACATATATATATATGTGTGTGTGTGTGTGTACTATACATATAAAATCAAATATCAGATTTAAAAGAAGATACTAATATTAATTTGTAGCACAGTTGAAATTAGCTTTCTTTTCTTTCTTTCTTTTTTTCTTTCTTTCTTTCTTTCTTTTTTTTTTTTTTTTTTTTTGTTGTTGTTGTCTAGATAAATATTAATGAATCTTCTTAGATAACAGAATGGTCTTACCTTTCAAGTTCACTATTTTCAGTAAAAAGTTCTAATCTAATTAAAAAAATTCTTTTCATTAAATCTAAAAATTTTGTTTTTCAAACGGTTCTAAATACATAAGATTTTCGACGACTGTAAAAAGTAAGTGTTATTGGAGCTGTCCTGATTAATATTGGCTAAATAAAGTGTGCTTCGATACTTAATCAAGTGTCGTCGTTATTCACTCCAAATCTACGAACCCCGCAACAACTGGTGTCAGAAGAATAGGAAAAACATATCAATATTTTGGGGAATTTCTAACTCAGCTTGCATAAAGCATAATATGGCCAACTTAACGGCACCATGCTGCATTTTTTTAAAAATACCTCGTTTTAGGATTTTGGTGCTGAGACTGTGTGTAATGTTGTGTTTATGCAATTCGCTAATTTTTTTTTTTTTTAGCAAAAGTGGATTGCTGTGTATATGGGAAGAACAACACATCGAAAAACCAAGAAGTTTGTGTTTCTTGCAAGTAAAAAGAAAAATGTAAGAAAATAGGTATCACTGGGTGCACTACTGAAATAGGTATAAAGATATCCCAAAAACTTCTCTTTAGAGTCAGTAACCAGTTTGCAAATGAAGTCACTAACGAGTTTGCAACTTTTTGGTGGAGGATAATCATAAAGTATCATAAAGTACCCTTATTTTTTAGACTATGTCACCAAACAGAAACCCCATCACAAAATATTTAACGAAATTTCAATAGTAATTCAGAGTTCTTTAGGCTCCATTTTTGAAATAGAATGTTTAGAATACTAAACTTAAATATGCAACAATACACAAAGGTAGTGTTCTCCAATCAGTATATCATAAAGGCCTATAAAGCAGGAAGATGAATTTTTATATTTAAATACATATTTAAAAATTTTGCTTCAAATTTTAATATCATAAATGTGTGAATATGAATTTTTTTCAAAGAAAATATTGAAATCCGAATACAGAAACAAACTTGTGCATCTTTAAGATGAGCTGTATGTTAGTTTGTTAACCATAACATCAGATCTTAGCAAATTCTTTGGAAAAGAAAAAAACAGTGACTCAAAAGTAATAGGCTAGTTTTAATAAAAATAACATTCTACTTGCTAATAATTCAAGTGTTTATAAAAGTAATATTAATGTCGCCTAGATCATGGATATTCAACTAAGGTGAACCTAGAAAAACAGCTGCGAATCACAGTATAAATATTCTTTGAAATTTTTGTATATGACAAAATATACAATATGTACGAAGTTCATATTTTAGTATATTAATAATTGAAATACAGTGCACAGGATAGGACTTATAAAATACATACCACACGCATCTCTAGCCTGAAGGTCCTTCCCAAATCTGAGATGAACTTCGAGGAGATAAAATGCATGCTGACGCAGGATAACATGTTTCTGTTTGATAAGACCATCCTCCTGTAAAGGTTAAAAAAAAAGGTACTTTTCCGTTTCGCCGGCGCAAATCTCGCCAAGCAGACTTTATTGGCGACAACATACAGTATACACATAAAAAATATTAAAAAAATGTTAGTTCTAAAAATTCCTTTTTCGAAGGCATAAACATTTTAATATCGCTTAAAATTTTATAAAAAGCCAATAAATAAAGACAATAAATTTGTAAAAAGACATTAATTAATTTAAGAATTTACTATGCTTTCATGGTTCAACATCCTGATTCCTGATTCGCCGGTTTATATCACGTGACACCACCAAGCGATCCCATCTCACGTAAACTAAACTACTCTACAAAAATCTAATGCTCTCTCAGTAATTATCTACATTAATTTCAAGTTAAATCTTAATTTGGAACACAAGTTTAAATGCAAGAAATATTTCAATTCGTACGAATAGCTTACTCAGAAATTATGTAAAACTAAAACTGCAGTGCTTTACTTTGCTAATGCATTCTCGTTAGAATTGATGAATTTAACACTTGACTTTACCTTTTCTATATTTTCGGCTTCGGGTTAAGCGCTGTGATTGCATCCTGATTGACTTAATTACCGAAAATGGCCTTAGACATAAAACTGAACTATCTGATAAAAATTCTATGTAATTATATGCCAGTATTGAAAGAAACAATCAATCATCTGAAAAAGCTGCGAGCTGCGACCTGTTTTTGAAAATGAGGCTTAAAAGGTTACCAGCGAGAATATTCCGTTTGGCATCGGTTGTACCATTATTGGCGACTTTATCGCTTGCGCCGGCAAAACGGAAAAGTACAAAAAAAAAATATTAAATTAGATATAAACCATACACAAAATTATTGTATTAAAAATATAACTATTGTATTAGACTAAATATTGCTCATTGGATTAAACTGTATTTTATTTTGATCACCATTGTAAAACTTAAGAGAGAAAAATATTCAAGATAATCCATTCCGAGTTAGAAAGATAAATTCTTTAAATTTTTATTACAATCATTGATGTACTAAATATTTTAAAAGATCTCAGGCATAAACGATATTTATGACGGTTTAATTTCAGAAACCTTTTTTCTTTTAGGTGCTACTTTGGTAGACCGTTGCACGGATTTTTGGCGATTTTCCTTTGGCGAGTACAACAACTTACGGTAAACCCATTGCTGGATAAGTTATTTATAGTAACCGATACTTTGTTGTCATTTTGTTTTAAAAATAATGCGTTTTATTGTGCATAAATTCCGTGTTTAAAATGTTATTTATGGCTTTTAAATATTAAAAATCAATTTAATTTTGCATTTTTATTTGAAATTAAAAATTTTATTGTTTATCATATTTTATGAAATTTTATGTTGTGGATGATGTAATTAATGACATCACCTTACTTTAAAACACAGTTGACTGTATCATGGCCTTGAAGCGAAATCAGTTTCGGAAGGTCACGTGATCGAAAGAGTCGATCTCTTTCTCTTTACCTTTATAGAGTTGGCTGTGACTTTAAAAGTAATTCGTTTTAATATGTATAAATTTAATCTAATGTTTTAAACATTATTTATGGTTGTTAAATATTAAAATACAATTTAATTTTGCATTTTTTTAAAAAATGATTTTATTATGTATGAATTTTTAAATAATTTTAATTCTAGCCGTGATGTAATAAGCTCTCTGATTGGTTATAGAATATTTGTGCATTAATGAGCTGTAATCAGATCCCTGATTGGTTACTGACAATTTGTGTATTTCGGCGCCGTTTTAAAATTTAATTCATATCTTCGAATTCCTTCAAAGATGTCTTCAAAGATGTTATCTAAATAATGATTCTGATTTTTTTTTGTGGTACTTATCAATAAACAGGTGGTTAAATATTTGAAAAAATGTAAGTGCATATTTTTCTTTTATTTTATAATTGTATAACTTTGCGATTTGCGCACTAGAAATGCGCCATTTGCCTTGAAATTGATCATTTGCATGTTTGATCAAGATATTTTGCATACCACATTTCGTCATGATCGGAAAAGGCTTTCTTGGTGCTTCGATTTTTTTTTTTTTTTTTTTTTTTTTTTTTTTTTTTTTTTTTGGCAAAAGAATGTATGTCTGATACGTAACTCCCCCTCCCAATTTTATAAAATTTTAAATGCAGGTTTTTGACATTTAAGTTGATAAGAAATTGCTTACAATTTCTGGTCGGAAATTTCTTCCATTCATTTGGCTTTTCTAACATGAATTTTTTATACACTTAACTATATGCAATTTTCAGATATCCAGCATAGTGAGCTTTTATTGTATAACACATTTATCTCAGGAAAACGAATTTTCACTACAATCTCATTCCAATTTTTTTCACAAAAATACATCCGTTCAAAGATTACATAATTGCTCATTTTTTCTATCGCATTTTAAAAAAATTACACATTTCAATTCAAACTAAGATCGTTATTTTTAATGTAAAACTTGAAACATTTGGACATTTCAAATGTTATTTTTCATCTTAAATTTTTATTTTCCTTCACTTTAATTATCAAAGTAAAAAGTATGTATATTTTAGTCAATATTTCAGTAAATAAATCAGCTATTAATAACATTGCTATTAACAAGTGTTATTATTCTGATTACATAAAGCATATATTCATTGCAGTAAAAAAGATTTAAAATTAATACTGATATTCATAATGCATTAATTTACATTTTTTATTATTCAAGAGTCTATTTTCTCTCTTTTATTTAAAGACTTCATGACAACAGGTAATGATCTAACAAGAATATTAAGAAACAGACATTCTGTATTTAGAATTAGGAAAAATTCAAATTTAATTCAACGCTAATTTTTTAATATTAAATCGGTGTTCTCTTATCTTTACCTAAGCCACCTTACCGGTTAAAATAACTAGGCAGGAACATTTCCCTTGGTACTTGATTTGTTAAACGCGGCAGTAAACAGAATGCGCACTGAATGCACGATCTGAAAGCAGTTGAAGGTAATTCCTCTTCGGCTTAGATAGTCACTTGTTCCAGTGTGCCAAGACACGTTCTCTATCGTTTACATATTAGCACTGACAACGCCAATGCTCGCATCCGTGTCAAGAATTAACGGTTTGTCGAACTTCGGATGCGGCAGAATTGAAAACCTTTTATTAAAAAAACCATTAAACCATCAGGATTGTCGAAGATATTAAAGCCTCCTTCAGTTTGTTAAATGCACCATCGCTTTCTACTGTCCACAAGAGCTTTTGCTTGCTCTCTCTAAGTTTCTGAAAGGGGCTTTGCGATGGGAAAGAATTCCTTCACAAATCCCCTATAATAGCTGCGAAGTCCCAGAAAACCTCTCAGCTGATGAACACTTTCATGGCGTCCTCAGTCTAACTGATGACACATTTACGGATCCGTACACACATTATCGGAAGAGATGATATATCCAAAGGAAGTTACTTCCTGTCTGAACAATTTACATTTGGCAGGATTTAACTTTTGGCAGACTTGATTCCTTCAATTTCTGAAGCTTTTTCCTAATATTTTCTAAATGTTCTTCTAAAGCTTTCCAGACGATGATGATATCATCCAGGTATATCAGACAGAATTCGTAAGAAAGACGTCTCAGCATTGCGTCCATAAAACGTTCGAACGCTGCCGGCGCATTACATAATCAAAACGGCATCACCTTGAGCCGCCAAAGTCATTTTCCGGTAGAAACGGCTGTCTTTGCTTGATCAACAGAAATATCCACTCTTTACATCAAGCGTCGAAAACCACTTGCTTCGAAGAAAGAGTGTCCAGAATGTCGTCGATTCTGCGACGAAGGTAGCTATCTTTCATCGTTGTGTCATTTAAACGGCAATAGCCAATGCAAAAATCTAGTTGAATCATTCTTCTTTCTGACCAGGCCGAAGGATTTGCTGACGGCTCGATAACTTCGCTTTCCTGTATGTCCTTTTGAAGCTGTCCTACTTCCTCCTACTTAGCAGTCATGAGACTTTCTGCTTATTGCTTGAATGGTCGACGATCTCTCGTATCAATTCTATGCGGAGTCAAATTAGTGCCCAGAAGATGTGTGGGAGATGTGCGGATCCTGCCCTAGAAGATGTGCGGGAGAAGACATCTTGAAATTCTTAAATGATACGCTTGGCAGCACTCCTCCCTCCATCGCTTAGTTGTGCATTCTGCAATAACTCCGATGTTAAGTTCTTCGAAGAGATTGGCGGACTATTGGATTACTTAACTGAGATTACTGGAGTACATGCTGCAACAACTTCACCTTTTCTAAGGACTTTCGCTTTATCACTGGAATTAGCAACTCTTACTGAGATGACGCTCTTAGATAGGTCGACGAGTGCCTACGTTGATAGTACTCCTTTCAGGCTGCTCCAGTTCTTGAGATACTCCATTATGCCGTACTAGAAATTTATCTTTTTAGCTATGGATGCAGGAGGTAAAAATTCTGTTCTTGTTGGTACTGTGATGTCTTCTTCAGCTACGATTTGGTGGACGGATTTAATCCCATCTTCAATTTCAAACAGGGTTATGTTTTTAGAGGCAAAATGCAGTTCGTTATAGCCCAAGGAATAATTATATCTCTTTAGAAAGGTCTGAGTATGTCAATAATATCTGCTACATATGCCGTGTGATGGTAGGCAGCATTGCCAAACGTGATGTTAATGTTGAACTTTCTATGAATTTCGATTTTATCACCAAACACAGTCTAGAGGGTAATGCAGGGAGGCGGACAGATGGGTTTCCCATCTAACTATTCAGCTAAATCTTTTCGGGTCAGGGTAACATTGGCCGCAGCATCGATAGTTATACTGCAAGTAACTCCACTTTTATGTTCCATGATGAGAAGTGCATTACTGCATCACTCACTGCAGAAATGTGGACTGCTTTTAAATCAGGCTTCCCAATAGTTAGCAACCTCCAATGTGTGGCCACTAATTTGCTGGAAAGCGGTCTTATTTTCTGCGCTTTGGCGTATAATGCAATTCCTTGTGTTGCACCCGCTAAG